ACTTTTCCAACCCTACCAATAAGCCGAAGCTTTCCCGTGTAAGCCCATGGACAATAGGACTGCATTCAAAACCTATTTCCCTATATTTTTTATAGTATCTCCCTGTATTTTTATATATTACAACAACACTCCAATATTGTTAAATAATTAGGTCAAAAGATATTTGTTAACCCATGGTATAAGCACTAAGCACTAATCTATAGTCTGTTGATCAATTTTCATGTATCCCATCAAAAGTTCAGCTCAATTCGGACTACCATAACAACTTATCTTAGATTAATCTTACAATGCTGCTTTGTAGTATCAGTATTTGCTTTAAAAAAATCTTTATGATACAAAGTGAATTGGTACATTTAAACAAATTCAGTTTGTACTTCTATATTTATGTAGAAATTCTATTAAGTACAAATTCCTTTAAGGTATAAAAATTGAACTTTGTACGTTTAATATTGTGGTACAAGTTCAATTTGTAGTTATACATATTCGTATAAATTTCTTTATGACATAAATTTAATTTATATATTTGAAATTAAGTTATCCTTGCTCTACTTAAAGATCAAATATAAGAGGATTGAAGGACTATTAATCAGAACCTAACGAAAAAATAACATGATTCGACAATAAAAGAATTGCACTGTAATTATCATTTCGTCCTATATATCAAAAGGAAAAGAAGTCAATAGTTGTACTATATCAATCACCAGAAGAAGACAAATAATTATGAATTTAACTGCAAGGGGGAATGTATACTTCCATAAGCCTATGGCTATCTATTATTAATACTTTTATTTTACAAACTTAAAATTAAAAGCTACTAATTTTTAATGCTCGGTGCTGATTTGAGCAACTGCCTAAAAAATACTAGTTTCTTTTCATTAAAAATACTCTCGTGGACCACGGTTTCGTATAATTGTACCACGTTGCCCTCTTCCGGTTGCAACCGCCACCACGATGAGCTTGTAGTTCCTGCCAGCTACATATTGGATTTGTCCTTTCTGCACTTTCAGGAGTTGTACCGGGAAAGCATTAGATATTGTTTAAGCCACAACACTCCGCACCCAGTTCTCTCTCCTTTTGACAGTGATCGCCGCCAGGCGCTCAGATCCTGCACAGATAAACGCCTAGAGGGTTGAATGGCCCGTTAGCACTCCGAAGCTTAAGTCAGAGCCTGCTTTTTAGAGAGAGAAGTAAGCTCAGGATCTTAGTGAGAGAAGCCAACCTGCGTAAATGCTACCTACCGGGTACTATTTATACTGGTTGAGGTCCCAACGGTCTTCTTCGCACTTCAGCCCACGTCAGCTCTTCATTTAATGCATGGTACGGTACAGCAGTCAGGCGCCTATACGTGGCCGCTTCAGAACGCCCCGAGGGGGGCGCCCAGCAGGGACCACAGCCGCCATGTGGCTCGTTTCCCTGCTCGCCCTTCCGTACCCCTTGTCCTCATGCCTCTTTTGTCGTCATGCACCTGCCCTACCTTGAGAAGCCTAACCCATTGTTTGGGCCTTTCCAAACCTAAACTATTTCTTTTTGGGCCCGTTTTACTATTCCCTCCTCATGGGCTTGGGCCTGTTTATACTTCCCCAACAATTGCCCCCCAGTTAGGCGCTCATAATCGATGGGCGCCTAACTATTGACCGATACCCCTTCTTAGCACGCCTTTCGCCATCATGCCCACTTCTCGTGCGCCCCCTCAGGCCCTTTCTTTATGCGCTCTTGCCCCCCTGTGTCTCCCACTATGCCGCTTCATACCAATTCTCTTCAGCAGGCGCCTATGTACTTCCACATAGAAAGCGCCTAACAGGTTATACCTGCCCCCCTCACCGTGCGGTTCAAAATTCGAAATTTGAATTTTTTTTTTTTAAATTTGAAACGGACGGTGAGGATCTAATCTCACGAGAGGGCGCGTCTTCCAACACTGGCCGTTGGACTCCCCACCCATATATATACTTCGGTCGCTTTCCTCTCCACCCATTCTGACGAAATCACTCTCTCTCTAACTTTATCTCTCTAAACGCGGCCGCCTGTGCGCCTATTGTAACATAAAATAACAAGGCAACATGTCTCGCCGTGCCGACTCAAGCGCCCCATCCTCTGACGCAACGAAAGATACTGGTTCGGCGCCCGACGTTCTGTCGGTGCTGGAAAAGCATTTTTCTCCGGATCCCCTCCGCGAGTCGGGCGGATGGACGCCTCGCGCCAAACCTCAGGCGCCTGCAAAGGATGATGCGCCCCAAGCAGCTGCTACCTCGGATGCATCGGCAAGGGACACTGCGCCCAACGATCCTGTTACCTCGGAGGCGCCTACCTCAAAAGATCACTCGATCGAGGGAGAGGAGATTCCCCGCCCGAAGGCGCCGACAACAGATGCTGCACCCGACGCGGCGGCATCGTCACATCCCACCCCAAGTAAGTGGTTCAAGAAAAACCCTGAACCAAGACACACACATTTTTTTTTAGGCGCCCAAAGCCATTAGGACTTAGCATTGACAATGGCCGTTTCCTCAAACCTTTTAGGCGCTGCGCCAGACCCTCCCTATCGGCTTCCTTAGTGCTGTCGCCGATGTCCTCTGATTCAGGCGCCCCCGAGGATGGATCCGTCAAGATTAGGAGGTGGGTTGATACTTTCCCCTCGGCGCAGGCGCCAGCTGATACCAGTCACTTTTCAGTGATCGAAGCTGGTCCTGATCACGTTTCTACTGTGAAGGCGCTTAGTTAGAAAACTTGGCCGTCTCCATGCAACTTCCCCTTACCTGGTCCTTTGCGCCTGCACCCCGCGCGGCCTGAATTGGTATTATTGGTCCCCCCTGGCTCGGTATCTACCGAGAGTATTTCCGATTTGGTCTCCGCTTTCCCCTGGATCCGGTTCTTGAAGGCATATTGTCTACATGCAAGTGCTCCATTGGGCGCCTCTCCCCCTCCGTTTTTCTTGTCCATACTTTATTTAGACTTAAGTGTAGGCAGCATAACGTCGAGCCGTCGTTTAACCTTTTCCATCATTTTTTTAAGATGCAATATAGCGATAACTGCCTTTCAATTCAGAGGCGCCTAGACATCCCTGGCCAATTCTTAGTAGAGGCGCCCAAACTTGGTAGAGAGTGGTTTAGGAGCTTCTTTTTTGTGAAACCACGCAAAGAGTCTTTTTACGAAAGTGGCGCCTCGTTCACAAGAGGATGGGTGATGGGTGACCATGAGGCGTTCAACGTCGAGGTATCCCTGACGAAATCGGAGAAGGAAGGCGCCCGCCTTATTTCCTTGCATCCTGTTTGCCTTAAGTCTACTGAGGCTCGGACGCCTGTCCTACACGAATATTATCGTGACGGTGGGCTCTTGCTTTGAATGCGCCTGCTCTCTACCCTTATTGTTTTGCATGTCTTTTTTATATGTTCCCTTTGTACTTGTTTGGCAGGTTCGGACTTCACCTCAGTCGCAACCCTGATGAAGTCCCAGTTTGCAAAGCTGGGCTTGGTACCCAAGAAGGCGCCCAGCTCAAGGAAGGGTGCCAAGAAATCCGACGAGGGGAGTTCCAAATCGAAGAAATCTGCTGCTGCTGCGAAAGAGGCGCCTAAGTCTGCCGGGGGGAAGGACAAGGGGCGCCCAACCAAAAAGAACAAGTCTCCCAAGAATGTTCAGACAAAGAAAATTCCCAGTCCTGCGGCTTCCGATGCTGCGAATGACGCATTGGATACATGGGAGGCGCCCCACGTCAAGGAGGGCACTGACGGCTCGGCGCCTGTTATTGACTTGCTGCAGGGGGATGACGTTGCTGAAGATGAGACACCCTTATCTCAGAGATTGAAGAGAAAATTAGAGGGCGCCCAAGTTGAGCTGAGCAAGCGCCCCCGACTGGACGACGATGCGGAACTGCCCGAGTCACTAAAGAAATGGCTTCAACCGCCCAAGCATAAAGTGACCCTGGTCTGCTCGGATCGTGCCGCATTGGAGCGGAGCGCCGCCGTCCAAATGGCACTGGGCGCTGGCGACGTGCTCCGGGCGCCCCTCGAACTGGCAGCCGCTGACCCCTTGGCCGAAGTGTGCCTATTGAACGCCCAAGTAAGTTGACAGGCGCATGTCTATCATTTTTGACAGGCGCATATCTATTGTTTTTGACAGATGATGCTTGCTGCACAGAAAGCTATCAAGGAGCGTGAGGCCGTGCGCGCCGAAGCTACCAAAGCGATCACCTCACTCGGCGTGTCCCAGGACAACCTCGAGACTGCAAGAAACCGCCAAGAAGAACTCATCAAAATGTGTGAGGATGCCCAACTCGAGGCTGCTAAGAGCGCCTCGCTTTTGCAGGTCACTGTTGATGAAGAAAAGGCGAAATTGCGCCAAGAGTATGAGGCGCAGATCGAGGATGAAAAGAGGGCGCATGAGGAGACCAAGGTGAAGCTGGAAAAAGAGCTACTCGACTCGGAGAAGGAGTCGGGCGCCTACGGAAGTGAAATCGACATTCTTCGCCAAGAAAGGCGTGCTCTGAAGAAAGACAATAAGGTGTTGGGGAGAGAGAATGAGAAGCAACAGAAGGAGATTCAGGCGCTCAAGGAGGAGAAGAAGGCGCTTGAAGATGAGAAGCAAGCGCTTGAAGCACGGGCGGTGGGTGGCAGCTCATCGGACTCCACTCAGGCGCTTAAGGCCTCGGCATCTTTGAACATCATTTTGATTTTGCGCAAAAAGCTGCTGGCCGATCATCCCAACATTGATTGGGATGTCAACTCCATGGTGAGCTTCGTGATTTCTTACATGGAAAGTGGACGCCCAATAGCAGACGAGGCGCCTGACGATGATGGTGAAGAAGATGATGATGGTGATGACTCTTCCTCCTCCGAGTCTGGCAGTGGTGCGGCCGAGTAGTTGTAGGCGCATAAACAACATTGTCTGTGTATTAAATGACCATTTCATTTTCCGCGTTTCCTTGTCTGATGACTCTCTTGTGTTTGGTTGACTATCATTTTATTTCACCCATGTTATTTCCTCTTTGCCTAAGTTATTTTCACAGTCTGTTTTCGTATGCAACTTTACTCGCCTCTGTCATACAATGGGCTCCTGGTACGATATTGGCGCAAAGGTGGGCGCTTTATACGAGGAGGGCGCTATAAGGAGGGAGGGGCGTAAAGGTGGGCGCTTTAAATAGGGAGGGGCGCATTAACTTGGGCGCCTTTGTTGCATCTTTTCTCAAAGCTCTATTTCGTATTAATTAATCCTATTTCTCACAAGTATGGGCGCAAAAGAGGGCGTTTTACAAAATAACGGGCGCAATAAGGAAGGGCGCTTTGATTCTACGGCGCGTTAGGGCGCTTTTGGAGACAGATAAAGAAAAACCTACTAACCACTGGAGATTAGCCACTGACTACCTCCTTTTGAGGCGCCTACTCTGATACATCAGTCATTGTACCCACTTCTTCCTCACCCTCAGCATCCATCATGCTTAACTCCCCGGCCTCATATTTTCTCAGGTTCTGGGCATTCCATGTTCGCTTCACGTTCTTGCCCGACAAGGTTTGCAATTTGAATGTACTTGGGCCAACAACCTCCTGAACGCGATATGGACCTTTCCACTTTGGGGCCAATTTTCCCTCGGTGGCCTTGGGACGAAAATCACGCTTTAACACCAGGCTTCCTTTCACAATGCCGTGTGCCCGCATCTTTTTGTTGTAATACCTTGCTACCTGCCCTTTCATCGCTTCCAAACGCAAGGCTGCCACCTCTCGGCGCTCATCCAACAGGTCCAGCTCATCAATGCGCTCCTGAACATCCATTGATTCATTGCGGTGGGTCATTCTGAAGGTAGGCACCCTCATTTCCACTGGCAAAACGGCCTCGCTGCCATAAGTCAATGCAAAAGGTGTTTCTCCCGATGCCACCTTGAAGGTAGTCCTGTGCGCCCATAAGACACTCGGCAGCTCCTCAACCCACTTGCCCTTTGCCTCCGCCAACCGTGTGTGCAACCCGTGTAATATGCTTTTGTTAGCCGCTTCAGCTTGCCCATTGGCTTGGGGGTAGGCCACAGACGAGAACCGCAAAATCACTCCATTTTCATCGCAGAATTCTACGAACTTCTTGCAATCGAATTGCTTCCCGTGGTCAGTGACAATGGATTCTGGGAGTCCAAACCGCGCAAAGATGTTCTTCTTGGTAAACTTCCGCATCTGCGCTTCCGTGATTGTCGCCAATGGCTCTGCTTCAATCCATTTGGTGAAGTAATCCACCGCGACAATTAAATATTTGAATTGTCCAGGCGCCTTTGGTAACGGTCCCAAGAGATCCATACCCCACTGGGCAAAAGGCCAGGCGCCCACATTCCCTTGCATGGGTGCCGCTGGGAGATGTATGTCGTTAGCGTGAATTTGGCATTGGTGACATGCGGCCACATCTCTCCGAGCGTCTGCCCGTATCGTGGGCCAGTAATATCCTTGGCGGAGCACAATCTTTTCAAGGCTTCGAGCGCCTGCATGCATACCACAAGTTCCTTGGTGAACCTCCTTGATCGCCTGTAACCCCTCAGCCTCAGTAAGACACCGCAGGTAGGCGCCTGAGTGTGATCTCTTGTACAACGTCCCATCCACTATGGTACACCTAGCTGCTTTCCTTCGTAAGCGCCAAGCCTCTTTCGAGTCCTCGGGAACCACCCCTTGTGTGAGAAAGAACCAAATTGGTGCCATCCAGCCTTCTTCAATCCCTGATGATATGGATGCCATTATCACATCTTCGTGGGGCACCTCCTTCGTTACAATCACCGTTCGATTTTTCTCAAAATCCAGTGCCGTCGCCTGTTTGGACAGGGCATCCGCATGCGCATTCTCTTCCCTTGGGACATGCGTGAACGTGACTTCACGAAACCAGGCGCATTTCTTGCGTACCGAGTCCACATAGGCGCCCAGTGACTCCTCCTTAACCTCATAGACTCCATTTAGTTGGTTGACAACTAGCGCTGAGTCAGATTTGATATTCACCTTCTGAGCGCCCAACTCCCTGGCCATGTGGAGCCCTGCCAAAACAGCCTCATATTCTGCCGCGTTGTTTGTTTTGAGTGCCGCAAAGCGCAAGGCTATTTCATGTAAGGCGCCTAAGGGACTCATAAGTACAATTCCCGCCCCCGCTCCTACTCGACTTGCTGCACCATCTACATGAACCTGCCAACATTCTTCGGCTGCTATTCCTCCATCTGAGACGCCCTCTGCAATGAAATCAGCTAACACTTGCGCCTTGATGGCGGGGCGAGGCGCATAGCTGATATCAAATTCACTCAATTGTACCGCCCACTTCACCAGGCGCCCCGACACATCCATGGATCCAAGGATGGTTCGGAGAGGAAGGTTTGTGAGAACCACAATGCTGTGAGCTTGGAAATATGGTCTGAGCTTGTTTGCCGCCATCACTACTGCCAGCGCAGCCTTCTCTATAGGCGCATATCGTGTTTCATGGCCTACCATGGTACGACTTACATAATACACTGGTCTCTCTTCATTCGAACATGGGTCCCTGGATATGAGAACCGCACTCACAGCAATGTGGGATACTGCTATATACAAATATAACACTTCCTTGGATTTGGGCGCCGTCATCACTGTAGGGGCCGTGAGCACTTTCTTCAAGTCGTCAAATGCCTGGCTACACTCCTCGGTCCACTTGAATTTGGAGGCCTTTTTCAACACTTTAAAAAAGGGGGTGCCCCGGTCGGAGGCTCGGGGGATGAAGCGCCCAAGCGCAGCCAGCCTGCCCGTCAATCCTTGCACTTCCTTCGGAGTTCGCGGGGGCGCCAGACTCAATATCGCCTCAACCTGTTTGGGATTTGCTTCAATTCCTCTCTTGGTTATCATGAATCCTAGAAACTTTCCCGCTTCTGCCAAAAGCACACACTTCTTAGGATTGAGCCTCAGCTTGAAGAAGCGCATGGTCTCAAAAGTTTCCCGTAGGTCCCCAAGGTGGTCCAGGCGCCTCTTGCTTTTCACAATTAGATCGTTCACATATGCCTCCACGTTTCTTCCTAGTTGCTTTCGGAAGACTTGGTTGACCATTCGTTGGTAGGTTGCCCCCGCGTTCTTTAGACCGAACGCCATCACTTTGTAGCAAAAGTTACCAAAAGGTGTCATGAAAGCTGTCTTCGCCCTGTCCTCTTCTGCCATGGGGATTTGATGGTAGCCTGAGAACATGTCGAGGAAGCTAAGTGCCTCATGATAAGCCGTCGCATCCACCAGGAGGTCAATACGTGGCATAGGATAAGCATCTGTGGGGCACGCACGGTTAAGGTTCGTAAAATCCGCACACATTCTCCAATCTCCCGATTGCTTTGGGACGAATACTACGTTCGAGAGCCAAGTAATGTATCTTGCTTCCTCCACGAATCCCGCCTCGAGCAACTTATCCACCTCCCGACGGAGCGCTTCTTCCTTTTCCTGAGTCAAGTTCCGCCGCTTTTGTTGAACGGGCCTCTTACCCTCCTCCACAGCCAGCCTATGCATCGCAATCTCCGGCGACACGCCGGGCATGTCCTGCGCACTCCAAGCAAACAACTCTCCGAATTCCCGCAACAACTCGATTAGTGGAGCCCTCATGTCCTCTGGCGCCTGTTCCGATATTCTCACTTGTCGTTCTGGACGCCCTTCATCAATTGCCACCACCAATTCCCCGTCCACAGATTCAGCTCTGGGCGCCTCCTCAGGTTGGATATCAATGACATTCAGCCTGTGTCGTCGGACGCCTCGCTCCACCTCTCGTGCATAACGTGGGGCGCTCCTTCCTCGTGAGATGCCTATACCCTGTGGTGCCATGAATTTCAATGACTGGTGGCACGTAGAAGCCACCCCATTAAACTGTGCTAATAGGGGGCGCCCTAGTATCACATTGTACGGGGAGGGACAATCCACAATTCCGAACTCTATCGAGTGAGTCACACAATGTACTTCATCTCCCAGAGTCACTGGAAGTCGCACACGCCCGATGACTTGGGCAGGCGCCCCTGAAAACCCTATCAGCACCGAGCTTGAAGGCCTTACCAACTCTGGCGCCAGCTGCATGCGCTCAAACGTGCTCTTGAACAGGACATCCATTGAACTTCCCGTATCGACTAACATTCTCTTCACCTTGCATCCCGCTATCACGCCTTGTATCTCCAATGCCTCCTCCGATGGAACTTTACATGCCTCCTCGGGCTCCTGGTTGAAGTGTATTTGCACCGCTGCCTTTGCTTCGATTGATGCCGCTCTTAGGCGCCTTGTCCTCTCCATCTTATCCCTCAAATCAAGGGTTCCGGTAATCGATTCCACCGTGAGCCTCACACGGCTGGGGTCACCATTTTGATTCACCTCAAAGGGTGGTGGGGGTATCTCGGGCGCCTCATTCACTACTGCTTCTTTTGGTGCCTCTTGCGTCTTTGGCGCCATGGGCGGCCCGGATACTTCCGCTTCGATGCGCCTGATAGGCGCTCGTTCTGCCACTCTCATCGTGTAAGCGCGATGGGTCCTGTCCTCCCCCCGTCTGATGAAATCATTGAGCATTCCCTTATCCGCTAACGTTTGGAGTTCGGCCTTCAGCTGATAGCAATCAGCCGTGTAGTGCCCCTTGTCTCGATGGAAATCGCAGTACCGATCAAGATTTTTCTCGTTTGGTTGTCCACGCATTGGTCCCGGCCATCGTATGTGATACCCTCTGTCCTTGACATATTGCAAGACATTCTTCAGCGTATCGTTGTATTCCGTGAAATTTCCCGATGACCTTGACGCCTGGCGTTGCACATCCGGTCTCCTCTGAGGCATGACACTTCCTACCGCTGGCCTTGGCGCCTGCCTGCCTTCTATCTCTTCACCTCTCATGCGCCTCTTTTCAGCTCTGCGCGCTGCCAACGTTTCTTCCAACATAATTACTTTCTGCACCCTTCGATCCAGGTCCTCCGTAGACACCACATCTCGCTTCGAGAGAGCTCGACACAACTCTTCACTGGTCGTGCAGGCGTCTAAACATACTCCCAGCACCGCTGGTTGCACATCCTTGACCGCCATGGCGACTGAAATCCATCGATCATAGAATTCCCGTAGCGCCTCCCCCTCTCTCTGTCTTACTTTGAATAAGGCGCCTATGGTTAGAGTCTGGCGCTTCCGGCTAGCGAACTTAGACAAGAATAACTCAGCGAATTGTTCGAAGCATTCGATACGCCCTTCATCAATTTGATGATACCAGTCCAAAACAACTCCCGCGAACGTGGACGGGAATACCTTGCACAACGTTGCATCGGAGCTATTGTACAACTGCATTTTGGTGAAGTAGCTATTCAAGTGGTCCTCCGGGTCAGCCACCCCGTCGTAACTTGGTAATGGTGGTATCGTTGTTCCAGCTGGCTCCATCAGGATGTTTCGTGCGAGAGGTTGTCGAACACCGAAGCGTTTTTCCATACGCCTAGGCGCCCACATATTAGGCTCCTCAACGCCATTTGTTTGTGGTTCAGCTTGCTGCCTCCAAGTGCGTGGGCGCCCCTGATATCCGGCGCCTAAGTCGGCATGCTGCGGAATCCCATACTGCATTGACTCAGAATCTTCGTTCGCCCTCTCCCTCTTTCTGATACCCGGACTATATGTCATCATGTCTTCGCTCCTTCCCCCTTCTATTTCCCTCCTAAGAGCCGCAATGGCCCTATCCTGATCAGCAATGATTCGGAACAACTCTCTTTTTGTCAACGACTCATCTTCTCGCGGTGACAGGCGCTCATGGCTAGCTTCCCCTTCTACATCCATAGGTGTCTCCGGACTCGACTGGCGCTCACCATCCCCCAAATTGGAACCCTCTGATCGGGCAGCATCCCCTCCTCCATTCTCCTCATCAAAACTTTCCATGCGCCTAATCGCTTCTCCCCCTTCCTGGCGCGCCAATTGTTTAAGCCACAACACTCCGCACCCAGTTCTCTCTCCTTTTGACAGTGATCGCCGCCAGGCGCTCAGATCCTGCACAGATAAACGCCTAGAGGGCTTGAATGGCCCGTTAGCACTCCGAATTTTAAGTCAGAGCCTGCTTTTTAGAGAGAGAAGTAAGCTCAGGATCTTAGTGAGAGAAGCCAACCTGCGTAAATGCTACCTACCGGGTACTATTTATACTGGTCGAGGTCCCAACGGTCTTCTTGGCACTTCAGCCCACGTCAGCTCTTCATTTAATGCATGGTACGGTACAGCAGTCAAGCGCCTATACGTGGCCGCTTCAGAACGCCCCGAGGGGGGCGCCCAGCAGGGACCACAGCCGCCATGTGGCTCGTTTCCCTGCTCGCCCTTCCGTACCCCTTGTCCTCATGCCTCTTTTGTCGTCATGCGCCTGCCCTACCTTGAGAAGCCTAACCCATTGTTTGGGCCTTTCCAAACCTAAACTATTTCTTTTTGGACCCGTTTTACTATTCCCTCCTCATGGGCTTGGGCCTGTTTATACTTCCCCAACAGATATCATATTGTTAGTCTGCACTGCATACTCAGCGATCTTTTCGACGTGCTTATCCTTTAAGTTCTTTATCGGCTCCCATCCACCAATGCTTGCTCTGGCGGTAGACAATATGACAGCAACAGTAGTTATAGCGACGAGAAAGGAAACTGGCTGCCCCATCCTTTTAGTAATTGATTCTTAATTTTCTTTAAGATTTTGTGTTGTGGCTCTCTTTGGATGTGAATCAAGCCTATTTGTGGTGTGAATTTATAGGCTTTGTGATATGATTGTAATAATATTTGTATCTCAAATAGGTGAAATTTTGTAATTATCCATGGTTGTTACTGTTTCCATTTTTGTTGCTTACTTAGCCATTTGACTCTCCTTTTCTTACGCTTATTTGTTATAATAAGATCCTTAACTAATATTCCTATTTTTCTTTTCTCAAATTTTTATTTCTGTATATATAGGAAAGAGTAAAATTGAATATCCGATAAAATTGGGATCATAGAACCGATTTTTAAAATCAAAAGATTTTGTTGCCTACATAATGATTATAAGATTTTGTTATGGTGACTTGATGTTAACTACAAGTAATTGCTATTTGGAGTTAACCTATGAATATGGATTGTTGATCACCTTATGTTTTCTATAAATGCTCAACCTACAAACAAATGTTGTCAACTTTTGACATCTTTATCATCATCCATAAACACAACTACCACTTATTATTATTGATATATGGATTTTCAATTGAACCATTCGGCCCATGTTGCGAGGAGGTTGATTCTTATGAGTCCTTCAAAAACCACTACATACTACTACTAATGCGGTCAACCGTTAAAGTGAAAAGCTCGATCAAAATTGTCCAAGTAAATCTTACTCTGTGATTTAACCCGATTTACCTATACGGCTATACACTATACATATCCTAATTAATTAATACTCTAAGTAATCATGATTGTCATATGTTCTAACTAGTAACTACTACTCTCCAGTTTTAATATACCTAAAAAGGTCCACAAGCAACTTAAAAAAATACCGTTAAGGGAATGAAATATAATTTGTATTAGAATGTTTTTTAAAACTCGAGTTATTGATAGAAATTGAATTTTCACATGATATTGAAGCTTTATACAGAGTAACAACTCAAATACTAAATATTAATTAAGCACATATAATGTTGGGCAGATCTCTCCTGCCATCTTCTCCAGGCAAAATTTTCAAATTTTCAGAGAATGCACGCGATTATTTGGCAGTATTGTGAAAGTTGCAGACCATAATATGTTTGATCACGCATATTAAGTAAAAATTTATCGAGGTATAACTCAGTATGTCCATTGAGCGAAACATGTTGAGTTTAACTCAGCATGCCGGCTGGACACATATTGAACTAGACTTTTACAAATTGGTATACGTAACACAATATTTATGTAAATAAGTTTCCGAACATGATTGTTCAATTTTAATATTTGGGTAATTCCACACAATTGCTTCCAACTAAAAGGCTTTATCTGGGAGATCAAATAAAGAAAAAAGCAGAAGATTCATTCTTTCAATCCATTACAAAAAAATAGGATGATATCTAATCCAGATTTTTTTTCAGGAATACCACTAAAAAGAAGAAGAAAAATCATCCATTGTCGAAAAATTTGAAAAATACCACCTTTTTCGAAAACTTCTTGTGGAGGGAGCAGTTTTTTTATGAAAACCACATCGGGAGGGAGCGGTATGATAAACCGCGCTGGGAAGCAAAAGTTCGCATGCAGACCGCATGCCCCCACTGCGATTTTTATTTATATATATTTTTTTCGCGAATACAGAACAATAAATCTAGATAGCCTAGTGGATGGAAGCTTGTTATGTGTTTGTTCAGATTATGGGTTTGAACCTTAGTGGAAGAAGTTGTTTTTCTAATTTCTATTTCAGTTTTATTACATGTTAATGCTTTTTCAATTTTCCAAACGAACTTAACTTTAAGCTCGGGTATCTGATCGTAGCGAATTTTTTTTTATTATACATAATTTTTCAAGATCTTGGAAGCCACAGCCACAGGCGGTTTGGTCCCGACTTCGTCCCGAAAAAAAAGGTCGTTTGCTACCCCTGAACAAGCTTTTTTCAGTTTCGCCAAATTTTGAACGACCATAACTTTGTGCTTCGCACTCCGAACATCATGAATTTTTTTGACATTTCGCATAACTTTTTAAGGGCTACAACATTAAAGTCTCATTATTATTGGAACTTTCCCCATTTACAAAATTCCAAAAAACAAAAGAAAAACCACTTTGTATTAATACTTGCCAAAAGTAACATTAAAAATGGACCAATCATGGAGGAGGTGTCAAAAATTAGATCCATTAGTGGTAGACATACTATCTTACACCCTACGACCATCTCAAACCCCACCTTCTAGCAATTGCTAAAGGTGAGGTGGAGTTTAGGTGGCAAGAACTTAACAATGGTTAGGGATGGAGGAGTTCATTCTAAATTAATAAGATTACTAAATTAGCAATTCTTCTAGCAATGCCACATAGATAAAAAAGAATTTTCTATTTTCTTGCTTATCAACTTTTCAATTGATAAGTGTTTGTGTAGATTTGAAATAGTAAATGGGATCCACTTTGGTAATTGCTAACATATTTTAGAGATGTTGATGACCGTTGAGTAGAACTTGATAGGTTAAGAGTTGCTAAATTTGATGATATGGCGGTAGGGGGCACGTTTAGAAATTGCTCGCCAATTTTAGGGTGAAGACTGAAGATGGTCTAAGAAACTTTGAAGACAAAACTTTTAACGGTATGAATCCAAAACTCATAACGACAAGAATCTAAAATCATTTAATATTAACTTTGCTTTTGTTTACTATTAATATCTCTGATCCGAAGTTTTTTTTCCCGCATAGCTTGGAGGCGCAAGGCCAAAGAAAAGAAGTATCAGATACAGAGTTTAGGAAGAGGTGAGAAGGGATGATGCCACCACTCTTCTTGAGAACGTGATGCCTCTCTTATCATCATGCAGAAGGGGGAGTACTCCACTTGGTGGTGATTCCACCTCATACATATCGTAGGGATAGACGAGACTGTGCTTCGAGAGCCAATCCGCGACTCTATTCCCTTTCCGGTAAGTATGAGTTAGATTCACCAACCAATCCTGAGCAATCTTGCGTCTAATAGCCGTTAAAAGTGCCGCATAGGGATGAAGGGGGTCTGTCCTGTTATTCACCAACTGTATAGCCATTTGCGAGTCCGTCTCTAAAATGAGTGCCCTGCATCCTACGTTCCAAGCCACTCTGAGTCCATGATAGATAGCCCAAAGCTCAGCCATGGTGGCTGAGCAAGAACCCAAGCTAGAAACAAACCCGCCCAACCACGTACCGTCTCCATCTCTAAGAACTCCCCCCCAGTGCCGGCAAGACCCTGGTTCTGATCTGCAGCCCCGTCATCATTCATCTTCTGCCAACCCACGGGGGGTTTCTTCCAACCCACTTGAGTATCGACGCAGTTCGGGGGCACATTGGCTCGCCAAATGATTTGGCTCGGCGTGTTCCACGCACGAAACCAGAGATCGGCCTTGATCTTTATAGCTTGGGTGAGGGAGGGAGCTGACAAAGTCTTGCTTACTCCGAAGAAGACTCCTTCATTTTGATTCTTCCAAATGCACCACAGGGCAACACTGAAGAACGCGTTCCAAGGCATAGCAGCAATAGATATCTCTTCGCTGGTTACGTTCTTCCAAAAACAGGTCTCCCAGCTGCACCCAAAGAACCCAACTTGATTTTCACCCCTTACTAAGGGTGTACATGGGTCGGGTGGTCCGGGTTTAGGCATTTTAATCACCCGACCCATGCACTACGGTTTGGGAAATATTAAACCCAAACCCACCCAAAAAAATCTAAACCCTACGGTTTGTTTCTAATTGGCTTGGGTCGGGTTGGCGATATTTTTAAGTAAAAACCCAACCCAACACAAAATATGTAATTATTCTACATCATATAAATATTTTATAACAAATTAAAAATTCAAACGAATAAACCGAGGTGAAAGGTATCAAAATTCAAAAATATTGTTTGAATTTTAATAAAACTTGATTTACTTCAACTTATGTCTAGTTTTTTTCACGACATTTGTTGAAATAGGCTAAAAAGGTTACAAATGAACGCATTCATAATATGATACTTTTAAAATTGTACACAAGAAAAAAAAATACGTGAATCATAGTTATATTAAATATATGTCTAAACTTTAAGTCGAAGAATGCATTAGATTAGCGAGACTTTAAGAGAAAAACATGGCGAAATATCTTAATTTTCTCATAAGTATGACTATATACGACATAAATATTTTTTTGGATACAAACTCATACCAATAATTGGAACACGGGTTGGGTCGGGTTCTACGGGTTGTGTAATCCAAAATTCAAACCCAACCCAAAAGAGACGGGTTGTACAAAAGAAAACTCTCACCCAACCCAAAACCTTCGATTTAGCGATAAATACGGGTGGGTTGGGTCGGGTTGGACGGGTGGGTCGGTTTTCGGGTGTGTTTGTTCACCCCTACCCCTTACCACGCGGCTCCAGAAATACGCAGAAGGTGGGCACTCTCGGAAAATTTGGCTGAGGCTTTCAGTATGGTTAGCACACTTGTAACAGGAAGCATCCTCAGTCAAGTGACGTTTCTCCCTTTGCTCATTCGAGCTGACCCTGTCATGCGCAACCAGCCAGACAAAAACTCTCACCCGCTCCGGAATCGGGAGCTGCCATATAATCTTCCAAAGTTGTTGATCACTGTCGTTGGAAGCTGGTTGTTGTATCTGAAAAGCACTCTTCGTCGAGAACCTTCCATCCGGACTATGCTGCCAGAAGAGAGTATCGTCTTCCGACGCCAAATGATCCACCGCATGTGCTGTAGCGTTGAATTTCTGGGGGAAGTATATTGTTAAACTTCTCTATCTTCCAGTTTCCTTCCTCATCAACAAAGTCCGCCACCACTGCATGTCGGTCCTCATCAGGAATAGGGCCCATCGCTAAATCCTGGAGCGGTACCTACGCAAGCCACACATCCAACAAGAACTTAGTCCGATTACCTTTATGAATATTCCAGGCGCATCCCTTTTTAATCAGGTTTGCCGCCTTCATGAAACTCGCCCAGGTAAAGGAACTTCCCTGAACCGTTTTCAGAAGCTCGAAGTTCTGTTGGCCCCTTCCATACTTGGACTCAACCAACCAAACCCACAACGTCTCCTTCTCCTTGATGATGCGCCAATCCGCTTTAGCCAACATTGCCCGATTAGCCTGTCTTGTTGGTCTGATACCCAAACCGCCATTTTTCTTTGGTTGAATCAACTGAGGCCATCCAACAAGGTGAAGTTTCTTCTTCTCCTCCGTATCTCCCCAGATGAAGCCTCTATTCATTCGATCAAGATTCCTGCAGACATTCATAGGGAGAAGCTCTATTTGCATAGGATAGATAGGAATAAAGGCCGAGATGGACTTAACCACAGTGATCCGAGCTGCTAGTGAGAGGTGCTTCGTCTTCCACGAGGCGAGCTTCCTCTGGATCCTGAGCATGAGGTCTTGATACCTTGTCTAAGTCACTCACTCGTTGATTGCCATCACTCTCAGATACCGTCCAATGTCGATCGTGAGAGGAATTTCAGCCCTGTGAGCCAATCTTCGCGCTATCCGTCTATCAATATTAGTTGAGACGAAAATAGCTGACTTGCTGTAGTTAACTCTTTTCCCCGAGCTACCACATAACTCGTCCAAACATTGCTTGATGATTCTAACCTGTGCACCCTCAGCCTCAGCAAACAGGATAAGATCATCTGCAAAAAATAGATGAGATAGCTTAGGACCCTCTTTAGACAGTCTCAGAGGTTTCCACAGGTTATCATGAATATCCTGTTCAATCCTACGAGAGAGCCTTTCCATGCACAAAACAAAAAGATAAGGTGAAAGAGGGTCTCCCTGGCGGACTCCTCTGGTAGGAGTTATCGGGGCTGAGAGCTCTCCATTCCACAGAAGCTGCATCCTGTTGTTCTCCACACAGAACATGATGCAGTTGATCCAGGAACTAGGTAGACCAATCTCCTTAAGCGTATCTCGAAGAAAGTCCCACCTAAGTCTATCATAGGCTTTCTCAAGGTCAATTTTCAACACCATGCCCCCTTTTCTGCCTTTTTTCCCCTAAGAGAGTACATCACTTCCTGCAAAACAATAATGTTATCAGTAGTCTGTCTTCCCGGGATGAAGCTACTTTGCCTGGGAGACACTAGCTTCCTCATGATAGGCTTCAGGCGGTTGGTGATGACTTTCGTGATTGCTTTGAGACACACGTTGTTGAGGGAGATCGGGCGAAGTTGAGTCACCATCTCAGGATGCTCCACTTTAGGGATAAGAACCACGGTCGATTCTACCACCCTCTCCGGCAGAACCCCTGTAGAGAAAAAGTTGATAGCCATGTCAATGAGAGCTTGCCCAACGACTTGCCAGGCTTTCTGATAGAAAATAGCTTGAAATCCGTCAGGCCCTGGAGCTTGGAACGGCTTCATGTCATGCACAGCTCTCTGAATATCTTCTCCCGTGAAGGGTCGCAGAAGAAGGAGGAGATCATCATGCTCAAGTCTCGGGAAAGCCTACTTTGGCATCTCATCAGTATACTCTAGGCAATCCTGCAGATACAAAAGAGGGGGGAAAAACCATGGTCGCTAATTCTTGCGGATCCGAGATCCACTCTACGTTGCTGGCCTTCAGGCTTTCGATCTTGTTCCTCCTTCTGCGGATATTAGCTTGCTGATGGAAATAAGCCGTGTTGCGCTCTCCAAACTTCACCCACTGCTCTCTAGCTCGCTGAAATCATAACATCTCTTCCTGCTCTAAGACTCTTTCCAACTCCTTCTCAAGTTTAGTTTGAAGCTTAAACCGTCCCGGGGAGAAGTTGTCTGCTATTTTCGTCTGAATTCCCTGGATGCGACTCAATAATAGCTTCTTTTTGTGGAATAAATTTCCAAAAGTTGTGTGATTCCACTGGGTCAGCTTCCGAGCCACGTCCTGCCAGGCTTCTTGAAGAGGTACCTGCGAATCCCAACTATTAGCCAAGAAAGTGTCAAAATTCTCATGAGTTAGCCAGGCTCCCTCAAAACGAAAAGGGCGCGAAGGGGAAAGATGAACTCCCTGGTTTCCAATCACCGTCAGGATCTGGTGGTGATCAGAATGGAGGCGTGGCAGGTGATTGAAAGAAGTGCTGGGGAAGGTGGTGTTCCAGGAGGCACAGACTCCTATCGATTCGACTTGCTTTGTAAGAATCCCGTGACTCCCCTCTAGTCCAAGTGTAGCGAGAACCGGAGAACCCCAAATCAATGAGCTCAGCTTGATTTATTCTGCTAGCAAACCGATTGCAGCGACGATAGATAGATGTAGTAGGTTGTCCTGCTTGCTCGGAGGGTGTCCGAATTGCGTTGAAATCACCCGTCAGCAGCCAAGGCAAATCGAGCTCGTCCCTGGTCCGAAAAATTGCCTCCCACAAAATTTTTGCAGGCTCTGTCTGGGGCTAGCGTAAACAGCCGTCAACAGCCACAAAGGAGCCGAATTCTTGGAAACCTTCACTGTCAAATGTTGAAAACAAGCCGAGATCAGCTCCACCGAGAACAAGCGATCATCCCAGCAAAGCCAAATTCCCCCTTTTCTCCCATCCGCTTCCACTCGCATCACGTTTGGAAACCCCAACCTGCCGCAGACTTTATCAGCCACCTCCCCGCTAATCTGCGGTTCCAAAAGAATCAAGAAATCAGGTTTATGACTCTGTACAATGAGCCTAATGCCTCTAGAGAAAGCTGAGCTGCCAGCACCTACTACATTCCACGACATAATTTTAAAACTAGGAGAGTTAGACATAGACAATAAAAAGGGAGAATTGATAGAGAGCGGGAGAAGAAGGAACAGAGGTTCTAAAGGGATCCAAGAGGCATAGCCGGATCGCTCGATCCTTCAGAATTTCTAGAATTCGTCTCTTGGTTAGGTGACTCGTTCATCGGACTCATTTTTGCGGCTCCCGTCCAGGCTGCGATTTCCTGTAGCGTGAGCGATGCCATACGAGTTCTCATCTTGTTTTTCTTTTCCTTGACCGAAGTCCACACCTGGAGCGCCTTGGTTGCGACCGAAACCTGTGAATTCCGCGGTGATTTGGTTTTCTTCTTTTTCTGATTCTTCTGACTTTTAATCCGAATCGCCGCCGATGGTGTGTCCTTACTCATTTTCCGACCATTCTTCGTGTCATATTGGGGAACTGAAATGATTTGGATGGAGGTCCTGTTTGGGCCTGGTGACACGTGATCTTTCGGCGGGCTGGATGTAGTAGGCCGATCCTTCATATCTCCCACTATTGGGCCACCGTTAAAGCAAGTGCTTCCTTTCTTAATTGAGTCCACTTCATCTTTCCTCTGTGCGTGGGTTGCATCCTTATTGGGCCCGATTATTGTTCCTGACTTTGAGATGGGAATAGGGCCAAGAATCCCTTTTCCTACTATAGCCACCTCCGCAAACTCTTTCCCTATCTTCTCCTTGCCTTTCGGATGCGCTACCGCCGCATTCTTTCCTTTTTCTAAAATACTCTGTTTCCCCAATTCATCCTGTTGAACGGGAATTTCCTTTGCTCCTCCCTTGCTTCCCGTTGAACTTTTCATATCCTTGGAGCTATTCTTTCCTTTTCCATTTTTACCATTTATGGTCAAATCTCCTTGACTTTGGCGAGCATTTCCTTTATCGGGATTCCTATTTCCGCCCCGTGATCGACGTGTGACTTGCATCCAGGGTCCAAAGCCTTCCTTTTCCTCCGACACCGTCGCCGGATCGTATTCCGGTGAGGCTCCCCCCGTCTCGGCTTGAGAACATTGCACTGTCGGAATCAGGTTTGGACAGGATAATGATGTGTGGCCAATTTTTCCGCATTCGAAACATACGGTCGGCAGATTCTCGTACTCAATGTATTGCCATTGACCGTCTAGGCGAATGCGTGTCACCAGGGGTTTGGATAGATCGAGTTCTACTGCCATCCTAGCGAACTTGGCACGCTGCTGATGATGCGTGTGAAAGTCCAGCTTGATCGCTCTACCAATCATGTTCCCTAGCGAAAACAAAACCTCTTTGTGATAGAAGTGCACGGGGAGCGCCGAGAACTGAATCCACACCACCATTGTTTTTGGCATAGAATCCGATAGACGAAACGTGGGGGTCCATTGGAACACCACCAAACAAGGTTCTAAAAGGCGCTAGGCGTAAGGCAGGCGCTCGGCTCCTGACTTGCGCCTTGCCCTATTAGGCGTAGCTTAGGCGCGCCTAGGCGTTCAGAGCATAAATGGAAAAATTCTCAAAATATTTCCTGTTTTCTGGAATAATTCATATAATCCAAGTGCATATAAAATTATTAATGCCTAGTTCTTAACAGTAAACACTTAACATAACAAATAACAAGCAAACAGTGACCAATCATATGCTAATAGGTGCTTGTAGAGGCAAGAAGCTTGTGCTACGTACCGAGGAGAAGGAAGGAGCATCAATTGACGAGTTTCGACTTTATTTCTCACTATAGAAGCGGAGCGGTGTGAAGGCGAGAAAAGTGATCGATGACTTTCTCCTGCGGCAGTAGAGAGCAGCAAATGGGGCGAGAGCTAGGGCGGCAGGCGGCAGCAGATGTTACTTCCCGTGTTTCTGATTTTCTAGGGCAAGAGGCAAGTTTCTGATTTTCTAGGACAAAACGAAGAGTATTTGGTTTAACCGCCTAAGCTCGCCTAGGCATGCCTTCTCTACACTAAGCGCAAACTAAGCGCTATTCCTACCTACTAAGCGCTACCAGCGCCTATGGCCAAGTCAAGGCGATCCTCCACCGCCTAGCGCCTAATTGAGCCTAGGCGCGTCTTCTTGAACCCTGCCACCAAATAATGATCACATATGACCCAAGGGCCTTCAGTAAGGGCTCGAAAGTAATCCGAATGGTTGCTGAGTTTAACAAGAAAACACTCCTGCCCCAACGCCATGATCTCCATTGAACCTGAAGGACGCCATAAAGCCTTGATCTTGTTGCTAAACGTTATGTAGGAGAGGTTCAGACCCATCGTCCTCACCACCAATGTGCGCTGCCACGGAACACAGAGCTTTTCCTTGAAGCCCTTGGATATCCTTAACTCTGGTTCCCCCATCGAAGGTTCCGGTAATGAGATCGTGTTCGCCCATCGGAGTCCACGATACCAATGCTTTATTGCCTTCCGGGCTCAGCCCCATTACGATGTTCGCATAGGAAAGAGGTACGGTGGGTCGGCGTTCCGTCTCGGATCTCGTCGGCGAGGGAGAGTCTACTATCATATTTGAGTCGCTTGTGAGCTTCAATGATTCAGTTGAGGCGTCGGTGGCTATCGGAAGACTTGTCAAGGCAGCCTCGCTACTAGCAAGTGCCTGTTGAAGGACGTCCGGCGGCCTCCCAGATGGGTTGGGGTCAGTCGTCGGTGAGTGGTTCAGAGAATCCATTAAGAGCAATTCGAATTGAAGCAAAAATAAATGACTCTGATCCGAAGTTAGGAACTCAGTTATAGCGAGCTCCGATGGAATCTTTAAGAATATACTAGTGTGATCCGCCAAAAGATTCCCCTGTCCAAAGCCTTGTCCCTCAAATGGCCATGTCGAAGGACAACCATTGATAGCATCCACAAGAACCTTGCAATCAGAGTAACAATAGGGGACCTTTCTTCGAAAGCACACTGGCACGCTTCAAGGATGGCTCGTGACTCAGCTTCAATCGGAGATGAACAAATAATCCTTCCAGCCTTTCCATTCCATATCTGTCCGTTGGGGTTAGTAATAACTACTCCAAAAGCCGCCTCCTGTGTAGCATCATCGAACGAGCCGTCGCAGTAAATCCTTTTGAGAGGAAATAATGGCGGTGAACATGATTGAGATGGAGGGTCCCTAGGCTTTGTGAAGGTTGCGGGAGAAGGAGGTGTGTAGTGGGGTTCCGCTGCATCCCGGAGCGCACAGATAGAGGTCATCGTCGGGGACAGGACTACTTTTCTGAAGATGAATTCATTTTGAGATCCAAAGGGGAGGGATTAGGTCAACAAAAGAAACAAATATATTGGCACTTGTAATTCACCCATTTGCACCTCATTCAATTTTAATTTTGTTTTCCTCTTTGATTACTAAGCATTAATTAATCAATGTAATCAGCTAGATGTCAAACACCAAAACCATCGTATGTAGACATGATTTGGATATCCATTCAGTTGAACTTTGGACATATTAGGGTATGGTTGACATAAAACTAAAATATCATAATGAGCTAGTTTGACCTGCTGTAACTTTTGCGGAAATAGTTTCTATCTGGAGCTTTTAGAAATTTTTTTTTTTTTTTTTAAAAAGCAGTTGAGTGTTTGCCTAAAAAAGTATCAAAAATATTTTTTAATATGAGAGGTTGCGTAAAATGACTTTAAAGAACTAATAATATAAAATATGAATAAAATTTCTAAACAATAAAAAGTAGTCAAAATGGATCTTGTTAGATTTCTTTTTATATTAAGTAATATGATTCTATAATTTATTTTATTTTTAAAAGAATATAAATAAAAACAAATTACATTTCTTTAAATCAAATTAAAATATGGTAAGGTTAATATTGTATTTTCAAAATAGTTTTTTGCAGAAGCTCCAAATCGGAGCTTCTACTTTTATATTATACAAAAGTGCTTTTCGGCTTCTCAAAAGCCGAGCTTTTAGAGGTGATTGGCCATGTTTCAGCTTTTGAGGCAGAAAAACACTTCTAAAATTCGGGCCAAATATAGGTAATAATAATTAAGTTACATCGAGTAATACTAATCATCTAATATTCTTTTTTCATAAGTCGTATTCAGAGTTTTAAATACCTATTGGAAATTTTTAGCTTCAAAACTTGATTGAACGCAGAAGCTCCAACCAGACACATGTCAGTTTCCTAATGGTGAGTTCATCTTTCTTTTCTAATATTTTAATTCTTGATTTATTTAGGATAATTAAGAACATTAAATATTAAGAAAAAAGAAGGTGAATCCACCAATAACAAACTGACACGTGGATTGTTGGACCTTCTACATCCAACCAAGATTGGAGTTAAAAAATTTCTCTATCTATTTGTCAAATGTTTTAAAAATGGAGGAAATCCGTTCATCCACTAGTAGGGCTGGCGGACGGTTTTCCGGTTAGCGACTAACCAGACGGTTTCAACCAAACCGTCCGGTTTTCGGCTAGCCGAAAAACCGATCCCAATGGCGTCGGTCGGTCGTCGGTAGCGAGGGGAGAAGGCTCGGCTAGCCGACCAACCGAGGTTGAAAACCCTCGGTTAGCCGACTAACCGAGCCTAACCAAAACGACCCGACCCCCTTCTCAAAACGACCCCCCCCCTCAAAACGACCCCCTCAAACCGACCCCCTCCCCAAACCCTAGTCTCTTCCGTCATCCTCTCTCTCTGCTCTTCCCTTTCACCTCTCAAAAATCAAAACCCAGATCTGAAATGGTGCAGAAGAACTTGAAAACCCAGAAGAAGAAGAAAGAAGAAAGAAGAACTGTCACGAGTCACGACCACCGCCGCCCTCCTTCTCCCTCACGACTCACGACCACCGCCGCCTCACGACCGCCGCCTCCACCATCGTCGACGTCGCCGCGCCGCCTCCACCATCGTCGCCTCGCCGCTCGACCTCCGCCTCCACTCGCAGGCAGCAGCAGCTCGACCTCCGCCTCCACTCGCTGCCGCCTCCACTCGCCGCCGCCGCGCCTCTGCCTCCACTCGCCGCCGCCGCTACGCCTCTGCTCTGTGTTTCCAGATCTGAAATGGAAGAAGGAAGGAGGGAGAAGGAAGGAGTGGTGGGTGTTGTGGGTTTGAAATGGAGGAAGGAGAGAAGGAAGAAGAAGAATCGAGATGGTGAAGTGGATAGGAAGAAGAAGAATCGTGAAGTGAGAGGGTGAGGAGTGAGTGGTTCAGAATTTTGTTGCTTTTAATTTTTTTTTTTATAAAGGGTATTTTCCGATTGGCCAGCTAATCGAGCCTAAAACCGAAACCGACCGGTCGGTTGGCCGGCTAACCGTGACCACTCTCGTGGTCGGCAAGTATGTAGGGTGGCTCGGTTTAACCGATAACCGGAATTTCGGTTTTCGGTTAAACCGAAACCGACCGGTTGACAGCCCTATCCACTAGGCTAATTAATCAATCAGTTAGCTTGATTGGCTTGAATAGAGTAGTTTGTATTTGTTTTATCAGTACGTTTAGAAATGAAGGGTTTGCATCATAATCGATGAAGCTACCAAGACTTGTTATAATCCCATGTTCATCCAATCAAACTTCAAACTTGTTCCTTATTAATTTCGTTGTATGGTCTGATCTAAATCGTAACTACAACCTGCTGTTATTGTTTGAACTCATTTAAATATATCATTTTTTGAATTATTCTCAGAGAAAACGACTTGATAGATGTATCATTTGACAAACATTACGAACAAATTATTATATTTTTAAGTTAATAAATGAGAGCTTCTTATATATTTTCTAACGAGAGTTAACGCATTCAACCGCTTTTATGACTCGTCTTTGCACACAAACACAGATAGTGACGTTGTCTAGGCAGAATTTACTGTATGAGGTCAAGTTTTCCATATGACATTAAAATTCATTGTGGTAATTAATCACATTAGTTTCAGTTTCAGGTGATTAACAAAGCCTTCCATGGTTACCATGATCAACCTAGTTAACTTATCAATCTAATTACCATCACGAACTACAAATCCAGCACATAACCCATGAACTTATCCATCTTCTCTTCCTCCAGCCCCAACCACACACTCACTCCTCCTCCTCCGCCGCCGCCGCCCCTCCGCCGGTCGGCGAGCAGCAGCACGAACTCATCGTTCCCGCTCACCACCGGCCCGCCGTGGACCGGCTTCCCGGACCCAAAATCCAGCTCATTGAACGGCAGCTTCCACCACGCCGACACGTAGAAGTTCCCGCCGCGCGTGGCCGGAACACCGCCGCGGTGGACCTCGAGCCAGTCGATCACCGACCTGACGTAATCATCCGTCACCCTCTCCCTCCCTTCCTTCATCTTCCCCACCGCGTACCCCACGGGCTCCGCCACCAGGTCCCCGGCCCTCGCCGTCGCAAACGCCGTTATCACGGCGTTACCCACGAACCCTTCGGGAAGCGCCGGCGTGACCAGCGACCTCACGTCCACCGCGAACAGCACCGTCGACGGCTGGTCAAAGTCAGCGAACACGGCCCTTGTGCGGGATCTCCACACGTGCGCCACCACCGCCTCAAACGACGTCGTTTTAGTGTTAGTGGCTCTGCCGTAAATATTGGCTTTTTCCTTGAGCGTGGAGATGTCGTTGTAGCTGAAAGAGAAGAGCTTGTGGACGTAATTTTTGGAGAAGATTAAGGGCGACGGGTGCAGGTGCTGCAGCGCGGTGAAGGAAGAGGAGAAGTCGCGTAGCGTGACGTACTCGTGGTGCGGGTACTGGATTCGGGGCGGGGTTCGAGCTCGTAACGAGGTCCGGTCGTTGTGGACCGCAAAATTTGGTTTGAGCCCCTCGCCTCGACAGATGGAAGCAAGGGACTCGAACATTTGGCCCGCCGATTTCCCGTCGAGGGTACCGTGGTTCGTCACAAATCCGATCGAGTAACCTCCGCATACAAATTTTGTGACCTGAAAAATATCGAACCACAATTAGATTCTATGATCACTTATGAATTTCTTAGTATTTATTTCCACATCAAATACATTACTACGTAAATTTATCGTAGTTAGTAAGTCAAAAGGCGGAAACTTGACTAACACCCCCAAATTTTTTAAATCTATTACAATTTTATATATCAAACCACGGTAAGATTTGAAGGTTACTTATGAAAAATTCAAATGAGAGGTTGATTTGGACCATGACAATTAAGGAAATCGCGAAAACTTTATTGACTAGTCTAATTTTCTAAATCTATTACAATTCTATATATATTTCAAAGTTCAACCTAAGGCTATCACGGGTGGTCAGTGACAATGGATCATGAAGTGAAGTGCCATAACTTGGGGTTGCGATTCGGTTTTGGGTACTCATTTTTAACCGAAATTGAACCGGTTGACAGCCTTATCAATTTTCTTTACGGGGTACGTACAAATCGATATAACGATTTGCTTTTGGTGAAAATCGAAAACCAGTTAATATAAAACCAATAAAAATCCCACAATTACGATGAAAAAAATGACACAACAGTTAACGATTCGATTTTTTTTATTATTTCGGCTTATTCTAAGCTAAAAACAGAAAATCGGGTTTGGTTTGGGTTTTGAGAAACAGTCTAGCTACTTCGGTGTTTTTCATTCCGTTAACCGAAACCAAACCCTAGAAGAAAAAATATTTTTATAAAACTACACCGATCTTGCCTGGATGGTCATGAGAGGAGTGTCCGCAAGACTCTTATACAGCCCCGGCCGATGGATAAGCCGCCGAAAACACGGATTCGGCAACGAGACGTCTCCGAGCTCCTCCATCGCCAGCCGCGAAGTGGCTTCAACAAAGACCGCGCCGGCGTTGTTGCAAACCAGCTCCAGCCGGCTGCTCTCCTCGTTGAACTGAAGCCTCCCTGCCATGAAGTAGTAAGGCACCAGCAGATCCTCCTCAACAGCTCTTCTCACCGTCGCGGCAATGTCGTCGTCGTCGTCGTTTCGGCCGCCGCCACGGAAGAAGAAGAGGGTCTCTACGGGGAAGCTGACGGCTTGGTCGATGTTGGAGAGGAATATGGTCTCGAACGTGTGGTTTGGGGAGAAGAGGACGACGGGGTCTTGTTTGGAGATGTCTTGGTCGGTGATGGAGTAAGTGTAGCCATTGTTGTTGTTGTTGTTGTCCATCTCTTTGGCCATTGTGGTGCCGGTTTTGGAGAGTGAGTTGAGTTGGTGGAGGGAGGGAGGGAGTGGGTGGTTATATATATATATAGGTAGGGTGGTGTGATGGTGATTTGGTGGAGGAGGAGGGGAAAAAGAACGTGCATGGACCGTTTTGGAGATATATTTGTTAGGAGACATGTTTCCTAGCTATAGTTTTTCCTTTGTGGGTGAAATGATGTTTGCATGCTGTGTAATTTTCTTTGTGCGTTTGCGAAGACCATGATTTGTTTTAGGCCAAGGAGTTTTTTTTTTCTCCTTCTCCCTGTTTTCAGGGTGGAAATGGGTACAGTATCGATATACAAATATCAAATACAGAAATATAGAATATCTAATTACAATTAAAATTCAATCCCAATCTCACGGAATAATACGTGTATTCGGTAATACCAAATATAGACAAATTCGGTACGACATTCGCCATATCCCAAATACCGATATCAAACTTTCTGCTCTACTTACTCATATAGTCACGTACGCAATTTGGATCGTTAAACATATTTAAGGTGTGATTACTATTATTGAGTTAATGATGGTAATTAGTTATAACACATATTATTACAAAAGCAACTAAACAAAGCAGTTCTTTGTCCGGGCTTAATTTCTGAAGGCGTCATAAGGCTCTTCTAGAGTAGTATGCACCTCAAAGTTGGGCTACATACCCAATATTTCGAGGGCCAGGTTCAGTGCTTTCGGCCCCATACATGAAAAAAATTTCTTTTCGTGTGGTGGATATGGGTATATGCGGCCCAAGAGTAAAAAATCATACCCTCCCCATTCTCTTCAAAACTTTATAGTTTTTACAAGTTTTAGCCATACTAGCTTCATACCCATTCAAAACGGAAATTTACTATGTTAATTAGGTCAGTAGTGATTAAACACGCATAATTATGAGTTTTGATTGTCATCCCTAAACCTATGCAAATGATTAAAAAAAAGACCAAATAAAAAAGTTGCAGAAGTGGGAAGTCCACTATGATCCAGAGGAGGACCAAATCCACCCCATCCCCCTTCCATTCCCAGGCCCAACTGTGAATGGCCCACTCCGGGTACCCCACACGATCCCATACCCACTCGAGCTGGGCACGCGTACGGGTCCGGCCCATGTGGACCCAAAGAACAAGCGCCGATCGCGTTTTCCTCATCCCAGCTACGTGGCGAGTTCCCATTCACCTGCGGCGGCAGCTCGTAGTTTTGCCACAATGGCCAGCCAACTAACCGCCGGGGATGTGGCACGCACGCACCGCCGCCGCACGTGACGTGGTCTTGAGTCTCTTGACAATTTCATTTACGTATAAAACGGACGGAGCTTCCCTTCTGTTTGTTTGTTCTTTGCTCTTTAACTTTTGTCTAATGGGGAAGTGGAAGCGGCAGCTCAGGAGATTATAAAAAAAACTACCCGAGGTGAAACAGTAAAAAAAAATTCGTGTTCGAATCGAAGATGATCATGTCGGAATTTTACTGCCCGGCAAATGCAATGGATTTCGTCTGTAACGTTCACCGGACTAATGAAATTAATAAAAACAAACTTTTCCCCGAACCGTTGAATTACGTTCTATTTTTTTTATATGTTAATCAATTTGGAGTTTTGAAAGGTTGAAGTTCCTATACTCAATATTTATATTTGTAGAACTACAAGATTTGTTGTGGACGGTTATTGTTGAAGGAGGATGCATATCTGAATGTGCTTGACAGTAAGAAGGGAAAATATAGTTTTTTGGGCAGGTGTCACGTATCTCTATTGGATAGTTTATGCATTTATAAAATTTCTTATAAATATTTAGTCGACGACATCTTATTCGTTTACATATTGAATTTGTAAAAAATGTTTGCATTTTAGAATTATATAAATTTTTTGTGTTGTACAAATTGATAAATCTTTTGATATTTTTAAAAAGAAAAAAGGGAGTTTCAATTCGACATACTAAAAAGGAAGGATAGCGAGAATACATATCTACAACCAAAAGTCTTTTTAACCAATGTTATCATTTCAAAAAAAAAATGTAGCCATATTTATGATGTGCTTCGAACAAATTTAGTCATTTTCACTAAAAATGTTAATGGCGTTTAAATGTGTCGTCAAAAATGCGCCGACATTCTTTGGAGTCAGATACGGTAGCATTGATGCAACCCAATAGAAGACCTAGAACTTTCTCTACATTAACAAAAAATTGAGTTGGATGCCACCTAACCTCTCACGGTTAGTTTCAAATCGACATGTCAAACCATCTGTTGATCATGACAATATGATAATGACTCGGAAGAGACACATGAAGATAAACATTTCAATTTTTATATTTTAACTAAAAAAGAGTTATAAAATTATTAACAATACCATAAAATTGACTAATATTTTGATGCATTACGAAAAATTTGACTAATTAATAGTATTTTAATAAATTTAAATAATATAAAAGATTTAGATAAGAAATACACATGACCTTTTATATATATTTAAATAAGTACTTGCCAATCGGCGTAAACAAAGGTTTACTCTCCCCTTCCCGTCTCGTCGCTCCCCCATTAACTTTTCTTCCTCCTCTTCTCTCTCAGGTTTTTATTTCTCTCTCTAGCCTTCTGTTTCGTTCTGTCGGTCCTCTGCTGCCCCGCCCGCCTGCGCCTTTCTTCGCCCACTCAGCAGCCTTCGCGCCCGCCATACCTTTGAAGGCTTTCGCGCTCTAACTCTAATGGAGGTAAACCATATATAATATACAGTAATTTACATCTCTAGTTATGTATGTATGCATACATCTCCGTGGGCACGGAAGACAAGGGAAGGGAATTGATGGCGTCTTCTTTGTTTCGAGTTGCCCTGTTCCTTTTCCCAGAACCGAAGGGGGTAAATCTTTTTTACTCCGGGATCGTGTCCAAATCTTACTCTCTCAGTACTCAGCCGTAGTAATATTCGTAACTACTTTTGTTTTTACGGCTTTTTTTTCAAACTCCCGTAATTATTATTTATAAATATCATGAAGCTCTGCTCTCGAGCTGCCATGGCTGGTTATGAGCTACGGGGTAACTGGGTAGCTTTGTCAGATGAATGTGCTTCGTGGGTCGTTGGTATTCAAGCCAAAGTTTCGAGCTTTTTATTTTTCCATTCGTGTTTTTTTTTTGCCCCTCTTCTCTTGGGAAATGAATAGATATCCACTGGGTTCTCAGTTAATCCCTAGCCGCCTTCTGCTACTGCAGAATTCATTTCTATGGACTGGAATGTAAACCAATTGCTGCGTTCCATTTTTGATTCATTGGTTTAGTTATTTACTTAGTTGGTTGGTTTTATCTCCGAATTTGATTTGATTTCCTGTTAAGTGCATTTTTATGTTTTCGTTTAGATAGATTTTTGTTTTCTGTATGATTATTGCTTCTGCTATCAATGTAGTTGGATTTGGTTACTGGATTTACTCAGAAACCAGCTGCTCCTAACTTTCACTGTAATGTGGAGAGTTCAATTTGATGGTGGGAGAATTCTAGATCCTGTTACAGGCTACAGTACCATTATTTCCTTAAGAGTTGAATTTAATGGTGAGATTAGTTGCTACTCAGACACTGTTTGTTTGCTAAGAATCTGTTTTCGTTACTTGCTTTTGTGTACAGATGGATGAAGTTCAAGTCGATCACAATGGAGACATCAATGGCAATGAATCTGCAGATCAGCATCCTCTGCAGCTGCGAGAATCTTCTGGTACATGCCAAGACGATGAGCCCGAGAGAGAAACTGAGTTGCTGCCTCGAATTGGAGAGCAATACCAGGTCTCGATCCCACCTTTCGTTACCATATCGGTCTACCTCCAAAATGATCATACATTACCCTCAGAAGGCAATTCTCTCAAGTTTTCAATCGGGTTGCCTATATCACTAACATGGATTAAGGAAGAAGGCGAGATGATCAAGAAAGAACTAGACGAGTTCCTCAATGCTTTGTCCACGGATTCTATCAAGAAGGAAACTGGGAAAGCTAAGACTGATGAAGTTGTTCAATGTGGAACTAAAACTTACCTCTTGGTACCTGGTTCGTCTTGTTGTGATGAATGGAATGATCTAGAAGTGGGGAGCTTTCTGCTTGGTTTGTATGTCTTTGGGAAGAACCTTGTTCAAGTACAGAAGTTTGTTGAGAGTAAGACAATGGGCCAGATACTGTCCTTCTACTATGGGAAGTTCTATTGGTCGAGTAGATATCGTAAGTGGTCTGAATGTGGGAAGCAGAATGGAAGGACGAGAATGTTTGGACAGAGGATCTTCACTGGGTCAAGGCATCAGGAGCTCATGTCTCGCTTGGTCAATCATTCGTCCGAGGAATGTCAGCACACTTTGCAGAAGGTAAAGTTATTTGCTTTCATGAAGGCTCTTTAAATGCTTAATTGTAGATGTCTGTTTTAGGTTTATAATTGTTGGTGAGTTGACAAATTGCCCTAGTGTATTTTTTTTCCCACTATTCAATGATGAAGCCATTATGCTAATTAATTAGGTTGCTAAGTCATTTGGAGAGGGGCAAATGATGCTGGAGGAATATGTATTTGCTTTAAAATCAGCAGTCGGTTTAAAGGCCTTTGTAGAAGCAGTGGGAATTGGTAAAGGGAAACAAGACCTAACAAGCACTGCCATGGACTCCCTGAGGTCAACGAATCATGGTGGGAAAGCTCGACCTGAGATACCTGTGGGCAAAGAATGTTCAAATCTAACACTTTTGGAGATAGTCAATATCCTAACAGGAAGATACCGGCTGAGCAAAGCTAGGTCGAACGATATCTTCTGGGAAGCTGTTTGGCCAAGACTGCTTGCTAGAGGATGGCACTCAGAGCAACCTAAAGATGGTTCTAGAAACTCCCTGGTGTTTATAGTCCCCACAGTTAAGAAATTCTCTCGAAGGAAGCTTGTGAAAGGAGAGCATTACTTCGATTCGGTTACTGATGTTCTGAACAAAGTTGGTTCTCAGCCTTCACTTCTTGAGCTTGATATTGGAAACGAAGAGAATGGTTGGAGTAAAGGTGGGAACTTTGAGGGAGATAATTTAGGTGGTAAGGAGCAACACTGTTATCTTAAACCGAGGAAATCAGAACTTGGTAGTACGAATGGTTTGAGCTTCACAGTTGTTGATACGAGCCTGGCTAATGGGCAAAGCAAGAAGATAACGCAACTAAGAAGGTTGCCAACTGAGGCTTTGAACATTTCCCTCCCCATTAGTGATTCTGAAGATAGTAGTAGTAGTGATGATGATTATTCTTCAGAAGGACCCACAGATGCATCGCATTCTGCAGGAGACTCGAGTGTTGATTTAGATTTTCATGGAAATGGCACTGCGAGGCATAGTTTCCTTGTGAATGGCTTGAACAGTAAAGCTGCTACTGCTGATGATGGAAGAGCTATGCAGGCGAGAAAGGTTTTTGTGCACAATCCTCAAGCTATAAGGAAAAGAAAAGTACCCAGCAATGGGAATGCGGAAGTGGACCCGCCAGCTGCGAAAAGGCAACAGATGAAAACAGCAGCAGCAGCACCACCACCAGCTGCAGCAGCAGTGCCTTGTGATGCAAGGAATACCAAATGCAGAACTTTCGATGATTTGGTTGGTCAACAGGTGGAGAAGCAACAACAGAAAGCAGCAGTGCCTTGTGACCCAAGAAAGACTAACTTCGTAACATTTAGTGACGAGTTAATCAGTGCTCCAAGGATGATTGAGGATTATCCTGTGAACTATCGCGGACATGGATTTCCTTCCCATGTGCCGAGTCAGCAGCAAGAGAAACTACCTTTCACCAGTTCTTCATCCAGCTTTATGAGCAGTACTTCTTCTGCTACTGAAAATTCCAACGACAACCCTCAATCTCGGACATTGATTGACCTTAATATTGCACCGACCCATCAAGAACCTGAGCACTCAATGATGTCTGAAAGGAAGATCAACGATGTGCAGACAGAGGACCCTGGAGTCTCAAATCAGCCAGAGGACCCTGGAGTCTCAAATCCTTCAACTTCAACTTCAGCTTCAACTTCCGACTCTCGTAGACACAGTACTAGAAACCGGCTACTGACTACTAAGGCAATGGAAGCTCTTGCTTATGGGTTCTTAAGCTTGACGCCAAAGAGAGACAGCCATGTATCGAAACAAGAGTCTAAACGAGCAAAGAAGGCGAGGATTGGCAGCAGTAGTACCAACTTTGGACCCGAAATTGTGGATTTTAACGGTGGAGATGAACCAGGAAGCTGTCTGACCAAGAGTAGCAGTAGCAATGACATCGATAACGAGGTTCATGTTCGAGGTAACGAGCCATTTGTCAGCTGAGCTTGAAAATGAGTTCAAACCGTTGAATGAACCGAGAAACCTGTGTGTACAGCTCAGCTCTCCTAGTTTACTACATAGGTTACATCGCAAGAAGATGATGGAAATAGAAAAGACCAGGAAGCGGGTATTGTGGGTTTGGAGTTACGACTTTTATCTTCGTTCAAAATCAAATGCCTTGGAAAGAAAAGGTGCTTTGTTGTGAAGGGGAAATTTAACTCCATTGTTAAAGAATCCATCTTTACAAATAATAGTTGAAAACCAGTTACTTTAATTTGCTTATTTTTTTAGTTCCAACTACAGATTTTTGCCTGATCGTATAATGGAAGGCCAGAGTTTAAATCTCTTTTAGATTTGCTCCTAATTGGTTGCTTTAGCATGTAGAGATATGAGGTAGAGCTCAAAGACCAAGAAAGAGGTTCAATTTCTTTACTTAATTTATGGTTAATGCCAATTCTAAATATGCACAAGTTATTAATTAATAATGGAATTATAAGCTAATCTAGACTATATTACAATGATTATAAACTGTATAGAAGGTTGTATTGAAAAAGTTAACGGTTTATGTTGAAATCGTGATTTAAGTGATATAATTAATTTATACTGCTAAAAATTGCCTGCCAATTTAATCTCCGCTAGAAAATTTTCTCGATCGAACGACAATACTATACAGTTTTACCAACTCTGCTATCTTACCCGGTTCATTAGAATCTATGGGGTCGTTTGGTTTTGGTGATAGTTAAATATATGTATTGTGCATGCATCATTTGGTTTATGTGATAGTTATTGAAATAAGTTATATTACTTTTTGAGGCAAATGTCACTTTTACCCTTTGTTTTTAATATTAAAAAAGAAACACACATAAAATGGCAGGGACATAGTTGGAACAAAAGAAAACCCAACAATCTGTACCAAACATCTCAACCAAAACTTGAGATTTAACTATCACTCATTTTGAGTGATAGTTTGTGTCAAATCAAGCAAACACTGCATGTATTGTTTGTACAGAAAATTAAAAAAAGGATACGTTGTATACAATGCATGTATTGTAACTAGGGCTGGGAAACGGTGCGGTCTGGTCCAGACCAGACCATATATACGGTCTATGATCCAGACCGAGAGGGTAAAGTATAGACCACAGACTATACGGTCCGGACCAGACCACGCCTGTGCGGTCTGGTTCGGTCTGGTCTAGTCCAGATAGACCACACTCAACGAAAAATGAACAATTTGTTTAGTCAACCATACAAAAGTTTGAACCAATAATCAAGAAAAATAATTTTTATTTGCCTTAAAACATTAATCCTAACATGCATGAATAAATTTGATACCCTAAATCTTAGTACATAACATAGATATCAAGTAAAAGCATCCCAACTTGCACTATAACGTTATAAACATTAACATAATGTCATATGGAGACACGATTATCTCTACTCTTTGGTTAAGTGTGGTTCTGAATGAAGGAGGGACGAGATTTACAAAATTAAGCTTAAGATTTGGGTATCGTTGTGGCCTGTGGGAGTTGGGAGAGTGGTCGAATGGGCTGTTAACACGTATTGACAAATCGGTTGGGTCCACGGTTTGGTCCGGTAAACCGCGGTCTAGACAAAACCAGACCAAAAGATCAAAACATAAAATAATACAAACCATGGACAAGACCAAACCATATTTAACGGTTTACGGTCTGGACCAAACTGTAATGTACGGTTCGAACCATGATTTTTCTAACAATCTAGTCTATTTTCCCGGCCCTAGTTGTAACTATCACCAAAACCAAACGAATTCTATAGTACCGATTGGCATTTGGCACCGAGTAAAAAACTATAGGAAGTCATATATGAAAACGTAATTGTGAGTGACGATGTCAGGGTTTGCAAATAAGCAACTTAGAGCACCGTTTTTGCAAACTCCTCAAAAACAAAGCGACGTGTGTTCTCCACAGGCGTTTGTTTGTTACTACTCACTTGCCGCTAGTCTTCTTCTTCTTCTTTTACCATTTCCGAGGATCCCTCTCTTCTTCCCACACCCCAGCGGAACTTCTATTGTTACCTTTTCTCCTCCTATTGGAACTCTACACAACCGCCAAGCTGCGCCGTTATTGCCACTGTTAGCCGTTCCAAAAGGCTGAAAACTGAAAAGGGACAAGGCGGAAAGTGCAGAAAGAAAGAAACAAATGGGTCAGGCATTTCGTCGAGCATCTGGCAGAATCCGAGTTCCCGATCCGTCCCCGAAGGTAGTTGTCGATCGCAGACCGCCGGAGAGTGCCGCCGAGAAAGTTGTGGAGGTCTCAAGAAGGACTACCTCAAAACTCGATAATCAGGATACACTTGGCGCTGGTGAGTCTCTCTCTGCTTATTCGTTAGAATGTGTGAATTCTATTGTGTCGCTTTTCTCGGAAAGTAGGGGGAAATGAATTGAATTGAACTGAACCCTTCCCCGTGTTCCATTAAAAGTTCGAGACTTTGCTGTTTTCCCCTCTGACCTAAGAGCTGAAATGCAAGTAATGTTGGTTTAGTGGCTGTTATTTTGAGCTCCATAACTAGCCATTGTATCAGTAAGGTTGAAACTTTTTCCAGTCGTCTGTTTGGTTCCTGATGAAAAAAATTGAATTGAACAAGCTGCAATGGAAACTCCTGACTTAAGACATTTTGACTGTGCTGCTTTGTTGGTTGTTACTTTACTTCCATTTTGAACTGTAGTGTCTTCAGGGAAATGCATATCTGGGTCATGGAATGAACTTACTTATGCATGCCTTTTCGTTTTTTTTGTAGCTGATAATCCTAGTTTTGATAATGAAAATCCCCTTGAAGAAAAGGATCCACAGTTCGATGCAATGCTCAATCAAATGGTTGGAAGAATCAAAACGAAGCCAGGAGGGAAACCCGAGATGGGTGAGGTGAGCTCTTCTGATATTGGCTCCACCCTTTTAGTGCTCTGTTCATATTCTTACTAGGAAGTTGTACAAATGGGGAAGTTAATACCTGTTGGGTTTTGTTCTGAATGGAAGGCATGATGGTTTCATCACAATCCAAGCCATCAAGAGTCTGCTTATGGATAGGCATTAGACAAAATGGATGGTTTTGGGAAAACTCTTTATTGCAGGCCAAAGGCCTTGATGAGTTGTTGTTAAGGACTTTGACCTAGAGGCAAGTTTTACTTTCATGGTGGAACTATCTGTTCTCTTGAGAACGAATTAGCCTTATCATTCATCGAAGCCTAAAAAATTGAGAGGAATGAAGTTCCCTATAAATCAAGCGAGAGGTTCTCTGTCTTTTGAGGAAGAAAGCTTTGAAATCCAAGACCAATATTAATATACCATATCCACAGTAGAGTTCCTCTGAACCAGTTCTTCTTTCTGAGTTTCAGTGAAGATATCTGCATTCATAGGGTTTGAGATCAATATCCTAGAATTGAAAATTCCGAGTGATCTACCTCTGCAGTGAGATCTAAACGAACCAGATAGTACAAAATCAGAAAGATAAGGATCACGACTACAATGCAGAAGGGAGGTGGAAAATTGGGACCAATCGCTTTCTCATATGTTTCTGCCTCTTGTGATGCAATAGCATTAGGGATGTTAGTATTGCAGAAATATGTTGCATCGAATGTTAAAGCTGCTATCTTTATGACAGGCATCTATAGTACAAAGCCCTAACAAGCCCCTACCAAAGCTACGGAACACAACTCCCGATGCTGCCAGTAAATATGAGGAAAGAGCTGTTCCCCCAGGAACCCTGAATGTGGCACAACTGCGCCACATTCTCAAACTGCAGGCGGGCAAGGGTGAAGGAGACAACCTCAAGGCTCCCGTGGATGCCCACCAAATCGCTCAACAGTTCCGCCTTGAAGTCGAACAGGTTAAGAAATTCTTGCAGTTTGTATCACTTCCAGCAGAGGACAGCATGAAGAAGGAGAAGGACGTTGAATGACAAAGCCAGTCAGTAAGTCTACTTGCAACTGACGGGATATGGTGTCGAATAAAGAACTACATGGCGATGAACTGATGAATCCAATTTCAATAGTTAAGTTTTCAAACCTCTCTGTCGTGGGAAGATGTTGTACATCATAGAGAAATGTAGCCATGTTTTGGAGAATAACATGTTAGTCTTTCAACAGAAGTTGTGTTACTATTATTTTGTTCTTGAGGAACCCAAGTGCTGAGATGATTATTTCCAAGCGGTTGATATCATTTTAACTACAGTTTACCACAAGTAATTATACTGCTGTGCCTCGAACTATCTGATCACTGATTACATTGGTGAGACCGAACTAAATCAGAAGAGACATTTCACTGGCAATGACAAAAATACACGATGCGATCTATAGCTCAACTTATGGCTTTTCTTTTAATCTAAAGAATACAATCTCAAATCGGGTATCCCTATATAATACTGACTAGGCAAAAAGGAAGAATACTATGTGGTGAAAGCCCCCGTCTTGGGGAGAGGCTGAGCTTTTCGTGCGTTAATAGGTAAACAAAAATGAATGGTAGACGGCCTATATTCTGCGTCAAGAAACACTATAACCAAAAAAAAAATCAATCCTGTTTTTCCAGATTCAAGTCCAAATAGATTCTAGCCAGTCCGAAGTCATTTCATAAGCCACAAACGTTACAGCACCGGCAGGAGCAGCCTTGACAGTCGAGGGGACGATCCCCTTGTATAGACCAGCCCAGCCTTCCGCCAGCACGATCTGGCGCAGGGCATCAAACATGTTTTTGTACGAATGGTGTTCGACTCTAGCACCATATTTCGGGTGCCTCTGAAGTCCTTCGATCTGGAAGATAAGAAAAGGCGAAGTCGTATAAATTGACCGTTCAATACAACCATGATGAGATTCGAGGAAGAGCGATAGAATACCTGGAATCTTTTCTTGACGACATCAAGAGGATGGCAAACAAGTTTAGCGCACGTCCCAGCAGCTATGCCACAAATAAAAAGTTGGAAGCTCGAAAGGTTATCATCATCTGTAGTAGTCATGGTCCTGGATCTAGAATGATTCCACGCCTGCAATTAAAGGACCGAACAGCGACCTAGTTATTTAAAAGTTAGATGTAAACTAGGCTCCTGTTTTTCTTATGCCTGACTGGGGCAATCTAACGGAAAACCATACTAGACACTACAGTTAAGGGTCCAGTTCACATTTGACAATGAAAGCCTTCGAAATCAGCCCCTAACGAAACTCAACCAGCAGCAGAAAAAGTCAGAGACTTGCCATGGCCCAGCGCTTGAATGTATCATATGTACCAAATTGGAGCCCTGCATATGGGACAATCTCGACCAGGGTTGGGGATAATCCTGCGTATAAGCCTTTAAAACCGCGAGCTTTGACAATGTCAACAAATGCAGATCTCATTGTTGGATACACCTACATTAAAAGGATGTACAAGTCAAAATGACCGACAGATATGACTTCATGAAGTTTAGGAGTTGCGAGAACACTCGACATCAGGTAACTAAGCAATAAGCATGCAGATGGCAATGAATAAGTGTGCAGGATATAGCACCTTGGGTTCCCCTTGAGAAGCTAATATGGTGCGAACAAGATCAAATGGATATGATCCCAAGGTAGCTGCACATCCCGCCAAAGCGCCACTTACATAGGACAAATATGGACTCAAATGAATGTGATCAGCTGCATTGCGTGATTGCATCAAAGTTAATAAGAGGACAAATATGGACTCAAATGAATGTATCACAATCAAACAAAGAAAAAAGAAGCTATTAGTGGCATTAGCTACAACTGGCCTGCATGTTACTCATCGGGCTTAAGAGGACTGTCCAGCTTCTAGTTTGTAGGTTTCAGATTTTCAGTTCAGAGTTCAGACAACAATATGTAACAAATGCAGTAAAATCACAGAACCTCGTATAATTCAATGCTGAAGCATAAACCAAATACTAAATGATTTGCAACTTATACATATTCGATGAAAGCTAAAAGCTAAAAGCTAGCCCGGATACCAATTGACACACCTGTCTTGGAAGAACCAGCTGCAAATGATTTTATCTTGTGCAACACAGCAAATTGTATGGCAGTGTACGGCATAACCATGAGCAGAGCTGGAACATTACCACGCCAAAAACCCTACAGAAAAGAAGAAACAAATATTGGATTAGAGGTATATCACACAATTTATATAATCAGCTTGTACAATAATTTAGGGTTTTCGAGCCCTAGCTGAACCGGACTACCTTAAGAAGTATCTAGTCTCGGTGCCGACTCCTTTACAAGTTCAAAATATTTCTAATTAAGTTTAGTGCCTAACCAAGATAGTAGAGTTGCAACAGCAACTTATTACCACCTCACTTCTTTCACTCTTCCAGAAACAATGAATGCCAAACAACAACAGACGAGAAGAGATGAAGCGCTATACCGCGAAACCTTCTTCTCTGAATATATCCTTGGTTGCTTGCAGCATTCCTGTATACTTGGATGGAGCAGTCAGATTTCTATTGAGCAAAGCCCACGATGTAGTTGGCTCTAGCTGAACCTGTAAACCATGAACAGAAATTCCGAATGATCCCCGATTTTACTCGACCTCTTCAGGTACCTAATCACATTCTTAGATAAGGAACACTTGAAGCAACTGCCAGCATGAATAATGAAGCCTGCTAGGAAGCCCTCTGGAGCTAATTCCAACACCCAACACGCTTCAAATATGCACTAAACATTTAAAAATGGGGACTTTAAGGCCACTACTCAATCAAAAAGCAATCGACCATTAACACAAACCCCTAAATTCACTGCACCGTCATTCATTAGCAGCCAAAACCTATAGCTCGCTGGCCAATCAAATCAAAATCAAACCAACTTCCTAATCCAATACAACCCAAGGCATCCCAGAAAAAGGAAACAAACCTGGAATCTGATTTTGATGACATCAAGGGGCGAAGTAACCGTACGAGATACACCCCCGGCGATCGCCCCTGCACTTGCGTCCAACAAGGCCCGTTTCAGAGGCTGCTCCTCCATGCCGGAGAGGGAAGCTGGAAAAACCTCCCCCCCCCCCCCCCCCCCCCCCCCCCCCGCCTCAGGTTTCTCCTCTTGCCTGTCCCCCTCCCTCAGCAGCTCCCGTCAATCTGAAGCAAAATGCAATAGAAACGAGTGCCGGCGACGGGAGAGCTAGAAGCAGCAGCGGCGGCGGCGGTGGAGGAGATGGATACTTTTGGCGCGTGGGGAAGGAGCGTTTCGTAGCTTTTTTATTTCTGACCCTATGGGCTACGGAAAGCGAGAATGTGAATCGCCGACGATAGCTGCTTGCATGCTTGCTTTTGATTAATCGGCGGCCGGCGATTCTGTGATTTGCGCCTAATTAGTTGGGAATTGAGACCTTTCCGTTTTTCTTTCAGGGAAAGAAGGAAAATGTTGAAAGGGGACGGCAGGCTGGAATGACAGCGGCGTGAGTTGACGGCGTGAATAAAGGCGGGGCGATTCCGTTTCATATCGTCCATGGAATCGGCTGCCACTGCCAGTCGCTGACTTGCCTTTTGTGGGTCAATTACGTAGATAGTCACTGAAAGTTGGGATAGTAACAAAGAGATCAATAAATTTTTTTATTTTTGAACGAAATAGAAACGGATGTTTTAAATGACTAAGATTACAATCACTCGGTTAATATTAAGGGGTCGTTTAGATAACAAGATTTAGATATGAATTGAATTTAAAGAATAATTCTTGTTTTTTTTTTTTTTTGTTACAATTAATATGTGAGATTCTAAGTTCTGAGATTTTAAATCTTTAAAAAGTAGAGATATTATATCTCTCTAAAAAGTAGAGATTTAGAATCTTTCATTTACGAAAAACTTTTTCCGTCAATATCCCTTTCTATTTTCTATAATTATCACCTTTTTTTATTTCACTTATTCCTTTCGTGGTTGTTGTTAAAAAAAAAGTTAATACTTTATTATGACTCGAAATATACTCAATAATCCAATTTTGCATGTGGTTTTAGAAATTGCTATGGTGGCCTAAACTATACACCATATCAACTCAATTGGTAGGAGGTGTGTTTTGACGGTCAATACCGTTGACTAACGATCAATGGTCCAACTCACTACCATGTGAGCACCAAATTAAACAAAAATCAAATTATTTTCATTATTTTGTTATTAGATAAAAATATATGAAAATAATTTGAATTTTGATTACATGGCATCCCAACCCCACGCCATCGTCGCAACCCTCGTCTGCTTTCCTAGCCTCATCTCCGAGTCCGATTTTGCCACCATCGACGCCTTCCCTTTTCTTATTCATCTTCATGCCCTTTCTTGCCATGTCCATCATCAACAATGGGGGGATGGGCTGGAATTCCGGTGGCAAGAGTTCATATTCAAACTCTGAGGCAAGCTGCTAAGGTTGTGGGTGCCGAAGTAAGATCTGGTGAGGGAGGTGGATGAAGGCTTATCAGAATTTCATGTCAATCTACACCTTCGATTCCTCTGGTTGTGGATTGTGTTGGGCGCCATCCACTCAAGCAAGTACTTGATTCCTCTGGTTGTGCCAGCGACGATTGTATATTGCCGACTCCAGTCCAGCATCGAGGCTCCTTCAGGGGTTTCATGGAGGAGGTGGTCCAGATCCGCCATTCCGATGAATTCCATCATGACAATTCTTTCTCTAGGAGCAGCTGAGAATAGGGGCGATGTTAAGGTGGTGGGCGGAAGACTTGGTTTTGATTACATAGGAGAATCCCAGTCCAGTGTTTCTCAAGATGAGAGATGGGGTAGTGGGCGGGAGACGGTGACGTAGACGATGTCGGAGGCACCTTAGCCGATGATTCGAAGTGGGTTGAATCCGTCTGTGGCTGCATCGATGTCAGATAGTTGGTATGCTCTAGCTATTGAGCCAGTGGTGCGAAAACGCTGGTGGAGGGGGAAAGATTGGGGGATGGACTATTGTGGTAGGACATCAAGAGGGTGATGTTGAGGAAGATGGTTATGGCGAGAAGTCGAAAAACACAAAAATGAAATATGTTGCTGACAGGGCAGTGAGCTGGACCGTTGACCATTAGTCAACGGTATTGACCGTCGACCATTAGTCAATGGTATTGACCGTCCTTTGACGCTCAAAACATGCATCCATCCAATTGAGTCTATATGATGTATAGTTGAGGCCACGATAGCAATTTCTAAAATCACGAGCCAAATTTGATTATTTGAGTATAGTTCGGTCAATAATAAGGTATTAACCCTAGAAAAACCCAACCCGTAGGCTTTTGTACTCCCCCTTCTTTGCCTAACAACGATATCCATGTTCTTGGCCCCGATATGCTGTACCTGGAAACAACTCATCGTTGGTCTAACTAAGGCTTATTACCCCCTTTTCTTGCTTCGAGAAATAACGTCCTTTCATATAGCTTCTTATACCTTCATAGAAACGCTCTTTTTGCTTGGGTATCTATAAATGCCTTTGCATACTGATGGCAATGGGGCGGGGAGGGTCGGGTCGGGTACCTGATCAATACCTATGCTCCACCCCAACGCTACTGCGGGGCGGGGTAGAGTGTCCCACTTTTATATATTATTTGAAAAAAATGCACACAAAATTTTACTTTTATGACAAAACAAAGGGGAAACACTTTATAAATGAAAATAGTGATGATAAAATGGGTAATTGAGTCTAACTAGTAAAGTCAAAATAGGAGAAATATGAATAGACACTTTATAAATGAAAAAAATTGATAAGAGAATGGGTAATTGAGTCTAACTAGATGAAAGATATAGTCTATCTAGTGAAGAAAAATAAAAAAAAATAGTGATAATGTTTGATGCCGGTTGTGTCGGGCCGGTAAAGTGAGCAGACACAAATTTCAGAATTTTTGTCAAAATTTTACATCAGCTAAGCAACTGACACGGTTTTTTTTTATATCAGTGTAGGTTACCTTTTGTGTCGGTTACCATCGACACAAAATTTTAAAAAAAATTAGAAATTAATTTTTATGTTATCTGTGTCGACTCAAACCAACACAAAATTTCGAGTTGTGTCGGTTATTACCGGCGCAAATGAAAATTATTTTGAGTTGTGTCGGTTGCATTTTGAACCGACACAAAATTTTCACGCCCCGCCTACCCTGAGAATGTTTTTTCTTTCTTCCTCTATTCTTCCTTTCCTCTCTTAACTTTCCTTATTTCCTCTCCTTCCTTCTTTGTACGGCTGGCTATTTGGTCTGAACTTTTTCTTTATCCGGAAATCGGTTCATATAACCCGGACCGTTTAAGACCGAGGCCGGATGTAAAACAAAACAATCCAATCCCGTCTTTGGTCCCATAAATAACAAATACCCGGATAAATCCAATCCGTGTTAAAACCGTGTCAAAACCAAAAGACCGGATAACCAATAAAACACCATCATAACAACAACCCATATACATACATGGACACATATACCGACACTATCTACTGGTCACTCGAGAGGTGTGACGGCACTTTATTTATAGTGTTTGTCACTCTCATTTCTAATACATTTCCCCCTTCTATCAATGCATCTTGAGTCATTTTCTTGTATTTCATATCTAAATCATAACTATTTGATCAATGAGCTTGTAATAGACATTGGTTGTTTTTGTACTCTTTGATGCCTTATTGTTAGTCAAATGAAAATCATTAAATGCTTGTATGGTGGTGTGAGTAGTTATGCAATAGAAGACCATTGGAATACGACGTTAGGGCATCCTAGGATTTATAACTTCGATTTCTGACATCAAGGCAACAACATCCGGTGACTCTGGCAAAAAGATCGAGAGGCCGAGATTTGGAGACGAGGCACAGAGATTCGACAACGATGATGGAGAGATCTAGTGACGAGATGGTGAAATCTGATGACGATGGCACAGAGTTCGAGAGGTTTCTCTTGGGCAAGGTTGTCAAACCGGTTTATGCCAGTGTGCCAGTTTAGCAAGTGGAATGGTTTGACCGGTGGTACATATCGGTTTGTGCCGGTTCATACGGTTAATATTATAAATAATTTACAAATACTTATATTTAAACACGATATTTAACGTCAATACCTAAATATTTGTACTTGAATCCAACAAATAACATCAACATTTAACTTTTTAACCCATAAAATAAATAATAAATTACTTTTTATCAATTAAATTCACTAAGGTAAGATTATTTTACTTGAAGATTCGTATATCGATCATTTCGGACATACCGGTGATGTCATGCCTGTTTTATGACTGGTATAGGTTGAACCAGGTTCAACCAGTGGCACGCCGGCCGGCGTGACAACCATGCTCTTGGGTGAATGAGATGGGGTTTCGACAGTAGGGTTGTACCTATATACTTTTGTAAAATCTCTTTATGGTACAACCTAAAGTTGCATATTTATGTTATGAACATAAATATCAAATTCACTTATAGTACAACATCAATTTTTACTTTTAACGTTATGGTACAACTTCAAGTTGTACTTTAAAGTACCAATACTTAAAAGTATAGTAGAAGTGCTCTTTATGTAATACCAAACAATACCATCATGGTATAGACTGGTACTAGATGCCAAAAAAAAATTATTCAAAAAAATATCAAAGTGAATATCATTTTGAATAACACAATTTATCTTATTTATCTTTGAAAAAAAACAACTTAAAACGAAAGAGATATAGTCCATTAAAATTTAGAGGATGAAAGATTAAGACTTTTCATAAATGGTGATATGATAGGTTATGTATGGTTGTGCACGACAAAATTATGCACAGAACCACTCTCCTTCAATAGTTGCCTCCAACTGACACAAAACATATAATTTAACCGACACTAAACACTATTTTACTTGTTAGTGTTGTGAGAGTACGTACGGGATAGGTGGCATAGGTACGAGTAGGGCTGGGAATCCAGACCAAACCGTATGGGAAACCGCGGTCTAGACCGTATCGTATGGTTTGGTCTGGACCGTGAGACCAGAACTATGGTCTGGTCTGGTTTGCGGTCTCCTCCTTTAGTGCGTGGTCTGAAATGGTCTGGACCGCGGTCTACCGCAGTAAACCGTAACAGACCGCGACATACTACCTACTACCTTGGACAAAAATAACACTAAATTGAACCTCCATATGTGTATTTGAAGAACAAAGTTAGTTGATTCTTCATCTAGTTGAGAGCCAACAAATTGAAATTGATCGCTTATATGTTATCTCCTTATCAAAGTACCACACAAAAATTAGAAAGACTCATAAATAATATTCACAGATAATGTCTAGACTATGGAGTCGATAAAAATTAAACACTACAAAAAAATTCGTTCACCTTGATGAGATAAGGAAAATTATTGAGAGATATGCGACCATCTTAGTGGTTCGAAATTACCTCGACGTCATCAAAAAGGTTATCAACTGGGAGAACCTTCAGATCACTCGAGAGAGGAGAGAAGCGGTAGCACAAAGAGGAATAGGGAAATAAGGCTATTTGAAAATTGAAAAAAAACCACTTCTATCCTCATATTTCTTCTCATTTAATACGATCACAATTTTTTTTGTTTCACTAGCATATTGGTCACTATATTTTTTTTTATAGATACCGGTGAAGGGTTGGAGGGCGAACAAGAGTTAATTTTTTTTAACATGGTCTGTCTGGTCCAGACCATACCGGACCGCACCGCACAGGTGTGGTCTGGACCGTATAGTATATGGTCTGGTCCATGGTCTGTGTTCCAACCTCTCGGTCTGGACCACAGACCGTATCTATGGTCTGGTCTGGACCGGACCACACCGTTTCCCACCCCTAGGTACGAGGCTAGCTGGTTCTACAGCTTGTCCTACTTTGTTCACTCATATTTGTGTGAGGGTTGTTTAATACTTTGCAATTCCTAGCTGAGTGTGAAAAAGGAATTGCGTGTGGTATATATATGTTAGCAGTCGAGCTGCTTGGGACGATGCTTGTGGTGAAAGTAAAAACCCTAATAAAAATATGGATAGTGACAATTTATTAGTCAAACTTTTTTTCAGATTCTTTTTTATTAGCCAAACTTATCAAAATACTAAGAATTAGACAAATGTTAACTTCCAGTTATCAATTTTGTTAGTAATATTGACTTGGCAGTATGATACTGACTTGGAAGAGACACATGAATGTCAACATTCAAAAAATATAGTCTTTCAATTAAGAAAAGAGTTACAAAATTATTAACGATAGCGTAAAAATGACTAATATTTTGATGCATTATGAAAGATTCAGTTAATTAATATTTAATAGCATTTTAATAGGTTTTGATAATATAAAATAATCTCAAAAAATTTGGATAAAAAATAGACACTACCCTATAAACATTGGCCAAAAACTCTTTTGAGAGTCTTTCGTAAATTATTCTCGTTCTTGCAAACGAGGATATCGCGCAAATCTTCACCATCTTCCGATTCCTGAAAAGATAGCAGGCAGCACAAACACATCAATGAATGACACCATCCATCCGCACTCATAGGTCGCATCACAAGACTAATTCTCCCCCGCACACAAAAATATCTCATGACCCCATCAATTTTCGGAAATACAAGTCTTTGTTCGTTGCTTCATCCGCCAGTTGAGAGATTAGGTAAGAGTTGGTTACATTTTTAATGTTTTTTCTTCATGTAAACACGAATTTTAGTTTGCAAATAGTAAATCCTATCCTAGCTCTATCAGTAAGAAAAAAATCTAAAATTGCAAATATGTAACTTGACAATGGTTGTCACGCGGGCCGGCGTGCCACTGGTTGAACCTATACCAATCATAAAACCGGCATGACACTACAGGTATGACCGGCATGATCGATATACGAATCTTCAAGTAAAAATAATCTTACCTTAGTGAATTTAATTGATAAAAAGTAATTTATTATTTATTTTATGGGTTAAAAAGTTAAATGTTAATGTTATTTGTTGGATCCAAGTACAAATATTTAGGTATTGACGTTAAATGTCGTGTTTAAATATGAGTATTTATAAATTATTTGTAATATTAACCGGTATAAACCGGCACAAACCGATACGTACCACCGGTCGAACCATTCCACTTGCTAAACCGGCACACTAGCATAAACCGGTTTGACAACCTTCCTTAACATTGATCACTGATTTGCTTATTCCGAAACTTCCAGGCGTTACAGTCTGCAATTATGTTCCTAGTTTTCTTTTTCCGACGGGACCAAGAAGCAAAATTCCAATTTCTCCATCGTAAAGAACGCGCCCCAAACCCCAGTTCCCGCAATTTCCAAACCATTGACTTCTTCTTCCTCTCTCCATTAAATTCCACCCTTCTCCTTGACAGATCTCGCTTCAAGCACTGATCCCCTTTCCCCTCAATCAGAAAAAAAAAATGGAGCGAACCACTTTAGAGATCAACTTGATCTCCGCCCAACGCCTCAAGAGCGTCAATCTGATCTCCAAGATGGACGTGTACGCCGTCGTTTCCATCTCCGGCGACCCCTCCAATCAGCCCGTCAGGACCCCTGTCGCCGGAGGCGCCAGCCCCACCTGGAACTTCCCGATCAGGTTCGCCGTCGACGGGGCGGCGGCGGAACAGGATGATCGCGTCAGCCTCGTCGTCAAGCTGCGATGCGAGCGCGCCTTGCTCGGCGACAGGGACGTAGGCGAGGTCGTCGTCCCGATCAAGGAGCTCTTGATCGGCGGAGGAGGAAAGGGTGGTATGAAGTTCGTCAGCTACCAGATCCGCCGGCCTTCGGGGAAGCCCGGCGGCGAATTGAACTTCTCGTACAAATTGGGCGAGAATTCGGGTTCCGCCGCCGCGGCGAAATTGGAGGGTAATAAGTCCGATGAGCCGGTCACCGCCTATCCCGCTGCGGCGGTGGGTACGAGTACCAGCTTCGGCGGTGGGTACCCGCCGGTGAATTCGGGCTACGCTGCCTATCCTCCTCCGCCGCCGCCGCAGCAGTATGTCGGTTACCCTTCGGTGGCTCCAGCGGGTTACGGGTACTACCCGCCGCCGCCTCCGGGTGGGTACGGGTACCCGCCGGGTCAGCAAGCTGGGTACGGGTATCCGCCGGGTCAGCCAGCCGGGTACGGGTACCCGCCGCCGGTGGTTGTGCAGCCGCAGCAGCAACAGAAGAAGAAGAACAAGTTTGGGATGGGATTAGGGGCGGGATTGCTGGGAGGAGCGATTGGTGGGCTTTTGATCGGAGATATGGTGTCCGACGTCGGGGCTTATGATGCCGGGTACGATTCCGGGTTCGCCGATGCCGGAGGATTCGACTTCTAGAATTGTGGGTTTCTTCACTTTCTTGTATGTGTAAGTTTGGTTGTAGATTTCAAGAGTTTGGTAAATGTCGTCGTCTCCAATGTAACACATTCTAGAACTTGTGTTGTGAAATGGCTTTCTTGTAATTTGGCCTTTCAATAAACTCAAATACGGGCGTTGGTGAATCGAAATCGATCAACAAGCAAAAATTTAGTATTGAGTAGTACTACTTCAAGTATCTCAATATTCATATAGATCCAATACCGTCAACTAAAGATATTAAATACATATGCTTCTATTTATGATTAAACATCAAGCTAAATTAACTTAAGTCAATGGCTAAGAGGCAGCTTAACATATATCTTAATATCTCTTTAAGAAAAGCTACACAAGCCTTCAATCAAATATATGAAAATATTTGGGAAACATATAATAGACCAGTCCCACCATCCCTCAGATTAGGGATGGCAATTTCGACCTTACTCGTTTTACCCGACCTGTTTGACCTGTTTTGGGCGGGTCCGACCCGCCCTGTAGGCGGGGCGGGGCGGGCATGGGTAGTCTCATCGACCCGACCTGCCTTGACCCGCCCCATTCTCAACCCGTTCTTGTCTAAATTACATGTAATCTTAGTCAAATTACTTAGGATTTTCCTTTTATTGCATCATATTTTAGCTATAATAAAGTTGTAAATTAGTGAAAACCTCAATTTCTCCAATAATTTAACTACAATTGTCATAATATTGTTTGTTTTCTTAGTCTTATAATAAAAATAATGAATATTTCTAATATTTTTCATATAAATTGCATACCCATTGGGTCGACCTGCCCCGACCCGTGACCCGTGATCAATTACCCGACCTGGACCCGACTTGCCACGGAGCGGGTCTGGGTACCAAGAAATCCGCCCCGGACCTGCCCCATTGCCATTCCTACATGAGATAAAGGCTCTCACTTAGAATTGAATATGTAATAGGGCTGTAATGATCCGAGGCAAGTTTTTCTATGGTTTAGGTTTGTCTCGTTAAAATAATTCCAAACTCGAACTTGGTTCAAGTTCGACACGAGTATTAATAGACAAGTTCGAACTCGGCTCGTCAACTGAGCTTAGCAAACAAGCAAAACACCAGTTTAGCTGACAAAATGTCGATCGTAGCTCTAGCTCGAGCTCGAACTTGGCTCACAAGACACCAACAACAAACATTTAAAGGCTTTCGAGCTTGTTTGCGATCGAGCTGAACATGTCATGGTACGAGCTCGACTCGTTTATAGACAAGCTTGTTCGCTAGCCAGCTAAGTTAAAAACGAGTTACATGTCGAACAAATTTTATCGAATCGAACGTCGAATCGTTCACGAGCGGCTTGATTCATTTACAACCTATATACAAGTCAAAACATAAGCAAAATGGTAGTAACAAAACATTATATTACAACTAACTCATGTTTCATGCCACTATAAGGTTATATAATATTGCATTACTGATTGAGATTCGACAACTAAGTAAAGTCATATTTTAACCGTCGATTTCACCCTTAGTCACAGACCTAATTTGAGATGACAAATGAATAATTCATCGATAGAAACGTGACTAACAATTAACAACTAACAATGCTGGAACGAGGCATTCCGCGGGAACCCTGAAAATCTAGCCCGGCCTGCGTCCCTGCCGAATGCTTCGCCGCTTTTCTTAGCGCAAAAATAAAGCCCAAGCCCAGTCCACTGGGGCCCAATAATAACAGTCGAAGCCCGCAGGATTTTGCTAAAACCCTGAGCATTTTCCCCAATTCAGAAACCTTTCGTCTTCCTTCTCTACTCAGCTAGGGTTTCAGCTTCTCCACCCAAATCCGAAACTGGAAAAAAAATGAGGCCGCTCGATGAGGCGGAGACGACGGTCGTCTTCGAGAAGCTCCTGAAGTTCACCGGCAACAACCTGAAGAACATCGTCGAGAGCCCCGCGCACGAAGGACCCGACCCGAACCCGGGCCGCTACTGCTTCCGCCTCCAGAAGAACAGGGTCCACTACGTCAGCGAGGCTCTGGTGAAGCGCGCCACCAACATCAGCCGGAAGAATCTGGTCTCGATGGGGACCTGCGTCGGCCGGTTCACCCACGGCGGCAAGTTCCACCTCACCGTCCAGTGCCTGGGCCTGCTGGCGGCCAACGCCAAGCACAAGGTGTGGCTGAAGCCGACGTCGGAGATGTCGTTTCTGTACGGCAACCACGTGCTGAAGGGCGGCCTCGGCAGGATCACCGACGGGATCCAGCCGGGGGACGGCGTGGTGGTGTTCTCGATGTCCGATGTGCCGCTGGGGTTCGGCAACGCGGCGAAGTCGACGCAAGATTGCCGGAAGCTGGACCCCAATGGCATCGTCGTTCATCATCAATCGGACATCGGGGAGTACCTCAGAATGGAAGACGACCTTTGAGAAGTCGAATTGATGTAATGAGATGTTAGGATGAACGACTCTGTATCTTACTGCCATTCACATCTATATGAAATTTTGGACTTTGGGTGCTTTCTACTACTTGTTCTTCAAGCTCACAGTTTTTCAACAGTCTTTGTTCAATGTTGATTCAGCTTCTTTGTGGGTTCGTTTTTACAGCTTGTTGATGGAGAGATCAATGAAACATAAGCATTAAAGAAACGATCTTTTCCAATAGGGGCTTTGTTGTTGCTTGAAGTTCTTTAGATGTGTAGTACCATTGGTGATCACGAAGAAGGATTTCTCATTTCTCGAGTTTTGCTCGATCCATGAATTCCATAAATCGGCATGTCAGATTGAGATTGATAGGTGTTGATGCTCTGCATCTTGAACCTTGATGGTAAGGCATTACAGAGTTTCACTACTAAGTCCGTTTAGATCGAGAAGACCAAATAATTGGAATTTGTTTGTGTTATGGTGTTGGCTCAAACCGTACTTGGTGGAAGGAAGGAACTTTGGAACCAACTTCATCAGAAGCTAATGCTCATATATCTTCTGGGAAGAATTGCAGTTTGCTTGAAGGTAGATTAGCCAGTTCCTGTTTGCCGTATGAATAAACAAGATTGTGCTTCGAGACGGCTCTATTCATCCAACCAGTTTAGAGCGAGCCATTGTCGAATGGAACTAAGGAGAGTATAGTAAGGGTGAATCGCATCGTGTTGGTGGCAGGCAAGTTCTGCTGCTAGTTGAGAGTAGGTTTTGATAATGACTGCATCTACAACCTTGTTCTGTGCCACAAAAGGATTCTTCTCTGATGCTGGTATAAGATAAACGCATGAAATGTTGATGTGCAACTGCACATGTCCAATGCTGCAGATGATAATGCCGCTCTTGTTTGGGCAGAGCACAAGTCTAGCACTGGCTGCCCTCTTTTCGTCCAGTATCTTCGGCGTGCTCCTACACAAAACGGTTGCGAGCAGAAAAAAAAATAACGAAACTGCGCATCCGGGGAATCGAACCCCGGTCAGTACCGTGGGAGGGTACTATGATACCACTACACTAGATGCGCTGTTGATATCATAGTTCTTTAAATATTTGTATATAAATTAGGGCTACCATCAGTCTTGGAACTTATGTTACCCAAGTCGGGTCTCAAAATCGTTTTTCCTAGTAGACGCAGAACCACTATTAGATTGGGCCTTGGGGAAACAATACGATATATGAATTGGGCTTGGGAATCAGTAGTAGAGACCTTTCCTCGATTCTCTCTCAAAGCCAAGGCAAAAAGCCATTAATTTTTTTTTATATAGAAAAAACTAGTCATAGGCCCGACCAGTTGGTTGGATTCAGTCGCAATAACGTAAACAACAAAAGTAAATTGTATGCGAGTTACACATTTTTTGGCAGTATAATAAAACATGAATTATTCAAATGCTCGAAAAATTCAAATTGATTGGTATAATAAGAGAATCAAAATTATTAAATTCTTAAACAATCCAAAAGGGTCACCATCACACTATTCTCCGACATATTACGATGGCATAGTTATTTGCATTATCAATTGTCTTCATTTCCATTAGTGATACATATATTTGCATTATCAATTGTCTCTTCATTCTTCTCTTGCATTTTAATACTGTGTTGAGAATATTTCTTCAATATAATGCATAAAATCACAGTCACACCAATTATGTTTTTATGTAAAATCAAATTATCTTCTTACCTTACTACTTCAATCTCTGAAATAGTTAATTTTGTCGCAACATCCTACTATTTAATATTCTTAGTCGACAATCAATCAATGATTTTGATTATTGTCATATACAACATATATTTCTACATCAAGATGTTTAATCACTAAATATATAACTGTTGATATGTCTCCCATAGGCCTATATAGAATATTTAAGATCCCTTAGTATATCAACACTGACTCCTTCCTACTGTGGATGTTTGTAAGATTATGTCTCAATTTAGTATATCTTATATAGTATACGTTAGCTTACTATTCTAAAAAAAAAAAAAAACTCTTAACCCATGCTTATTGACCCCTTAGTATATCATTGAATTTCCTTAGTAAAGAGGATATTTTATCCAAATTCAAGGCAATTGGTGCATCATAAAGGTCTATCCTTATCATGATATTTTAGTTAATGATTCCTTACTTCTAGCACATGATCTGGAAATTTGCACATTCTTGATAAATATTTTAAAGTTAATATTTCCAAATTAATATAAGCAATGATTCAATGTGTCTATAACACATCGCGAGCATATGGTTCCAATCAAGGTTGTCAAACCAGTTTAATTCATTGAGTCGAGCAAGCAAATGATTTGAAATTTAATGGTCAGATCATGGTCCAACCTATTTAAGTCATTTTATCCCTATTATAAATATGTATGAGTATATATGGTAGTATTTAATATTTCAATAATTTGAATCTAATTTGACATATATCATAAAATAAGAACAATTAAAATATTATTGACTCTAAAAGCGGCATATATGTGGTTCATTTTTATAATAGAGCTTGGAAGAGAGTCAAAACACATCGTATAAAAGTCAGAAACCGGTCAATGCATTTTTTCTTTCGTGCATGTTATGATTGTTGCTACTCTTTTTTTCTACTCACCACCCGATTGCAATTGCCTTGGTACTACATAAGATAATAGCCACTGATAGTTTATTCTTTATACTGGTATATCAGAATTGGTACTTATCGTTTTTATATTTTTATTAGTATATATAATCATAATAATTATATGAATCGTACCGCACTATTTGCTCCTCACTGTCAAGATTTACATCAAATATCATTTGAATTTGTTGCGTTCGCTCTTCCATTTAAAGCAACATCATCTTCAGTCTTCACCAATTACAATGCTTTCATCTTCCTTAACAAAAACTGTATCTTCATAATAGGCTCTTCCTTTTTTTTTTTTTTGCAATTTGAAAGTCAATCTTTATTAGTAAAATGTTTGAAAATACTAAACATTACACGCAGAATAATTTACATCATTCGAGTTAAGAACATTTTATGAGATTGGTTATTTTTCCTAACATTGATAAACAACCCATCGACCAACACAAAACTCGATAATTTATAGATTGGAAACTTAATGATAACTCGTAGTATTGTTGACTATTCTCACGTTTCTTTTTCTTATGTATTAAGATATTTGATAATTTATAGATTGAAAATTGGATGATAACCCGTAGGAGTGTTGACTTTCTCCGGTAGATACTCTCTTTTTTTTCCTTATATATTTGTTGTCTTATTGCCCACTTTGTAAAAATGACTTTGGAAAGTTTAGCGGCTTAGGAAGAGAACAACTGAACCTTCCATGAATGTCATCTTCAATCTTTGGTGGTTTTTATTTTTAGTTTTGTAAATAATGAATTAAGTGGGGAGTTCATGATCATCAATATTGACTAACGAATAATTGACGGTGGTGGCACGGTTAGGAACTACCACATAGATCGGGTAATACTATAGTAGAATTGATAGTTTATGAATGTTATTTGAGATGCTATAGGATGCTTGACTAACATATTTGTTTTATTCTAAAATGTCTAAATGGATATATCATTTTAAGAGTGTGATTAATTTGATTTTTATTTAAATTTTTTGTCAATTAAATTAGAACAAATGAAATATAATTAACTAAAAAAGTAATAAGGGAGTGGATCCGGTTTAAAGGTTATATTTTCTTTATACATGAGTTATATATTTGGGAAATTGGGATGACTATTCAAATTTCCACCTCCTTTCAGTAATTTGTTTCGGTGCGTTCTAATGCCTAGCTGGAAACAAGTAGAGGAAAAAAGTTGTCTATATTTAATAGTCTTCTAATACATTTCGCCTATATTTAATAGAGTTTAGTTTATAGCAAAAAGACCGACGAGGCAAAAGGATCGGCAGGTCCTTCCGAACTATGCGCACAGCACTAGAACAATGGGATAGGGTGGGTTGTGCGGAGAATTTTTTATATGTTTGGTAGGAATAAAGGCTATCAAACACATTCAATGGGAAACTTCGAGCATAAATACGAAAGAAAAACCAATGGGAGCACCTCTCCTAATTCTTCTTTACTTATAGTTAAAACATTACTGATTTCCTTGGGTGAGATAGGGGATAGATCCTTGAATTTGGAAAAAAACGAAACTTAGCATTGCTTTATTCTACATGCATAAAAAAGTTTAAGTGAAAGTTGCTGATTTGGCAGTGACGTGGCGCGTTGACAGTTTGTCAACGCGTTTGACCATCCAAGATAACGCAAACATCGGATTTGACCAATTTCGTTACTTTGATGTATAGTTTGAGCCAGGATGTTATAGATCGAAAATATTGGCCAAGATGTTTATTATGTACAAAGTTCAGGCCATACAAATATATTAGCCCTTTAATTTTTATATATTATTTTTTTTACTGGAATCTATTTTCTCTCTATCTTCTTTTTCTCATCAGTCTATTTCCGTTCAGCTATGTATGTAAGCATTTTAGGCAAATTGCGCAACAACAAAGCACATAGAGATTCATGGGTTGCAAGGAACAATTTAACTTCAACAACAACAAAAAAATATGTTTTGGGGGTGAAATGAAAAAGAGTTCTTGTGAGAACTCTAAAGTTAAACTTGCTGAGGATGAAACAGTGCAAAGATAAATGACCCGTTGATAAGTCATCATGATGCGAAGAAAAACAAAAATCGTGTGAACTAGACCTAAAACGAATAATATTTTTATCAAGAAAAGGGTTGAGATGTTACAATATATGTATACTTCCTTCCAGTTGTCCACCAATTCACCTCTCCAACATTACCCAATCAGATCACCAAGTTAATTTTGCCATCTTTCTCTAAACTAGATTATTGTTCGTGGAGAATAAAATTCATGTATTTAGTGGATGGGAGCAAGAGATATTATACTCCACCATCAATGGAACAATTTAATAAGCAAGATAGTGATCATAACCATCATCATTTCATTTGATTTGCCATATAAAAGGGGAAAGGAATTGGGTCTTTGATAATTTGTGCTTAGCCTTTGAGGAATATTTCCTAGACATCCAATGACTACTTCAAGCTAAATAGAGGAAAGACGGATTCTGTGTGCTAATGTTAGATACTTAGATTTTATTATTTGAGTCTTCCTGTCCAACTTGAGTGCAAATTCTGGTAGAGTGCGCACCAAGTTTCTACCCCTATATATCTAAGCTTATCGTAATAAAGCAACCATGCATGAAGAAGAATATACTCGCGTGTTTGCATGAGTTATATTCCAATTAGGACTATAAATAAATTAGTGTATATATCTTCCCAACATATGGTAAGTTTAACATTTAAAAAAAAACGGCTCAAAATATTGTTTATTTTGGGAGTATAATCTTTTTAGGAGGGATAGTTTTACAATGCTGTCAAAGCCGAGTCGGAGTATGACCCGGTAACGTGAACGGCTTGGTCATTAGTGGTCCAGCCGACATTAGATCGTTTAAAAACCGTTTGAGAACCGGTACCTAGAAAACAGTCATCTATAATAGTAGACACTTCTTAATAAACAGTCATCTTGTTAGCAATGCTGCTTGCGGCGATTGCGAGCTGCTTGCGGCGACGGGACGGAAGCGCTGGGGGCCTGGGGCGATGGTTGACGGCGGCAGGGTGGTGCCGCTCTCCCTCTGTCGTCTGTTCTACTTCTAGGTCGAAGATGGAGAAATAAAAGGAAAGTTAGGGATTTGTTTGGCTGCCCAATTCCACGATTCCTTTTCTATTTTTTTTTTAGGGTAAACCAAACGGCCAAACCGCGCGACCGGCTTGAGCAGCTCGAGCGGTTAACCACTTCGGCCGCTCGCCGGCCGCTGTATAAAACCGTGGTGGTTAAATAGCTGATCCGAGCCAGTTTTGCGGACGGGTGGCGGCTTTGGCGGTCCGGCCGGCCGGCTCGGTTCGGCTTTGACAGCACTACTTTTACATATTTTTGTCAAATTCTTCTATTATTAAGTACAGTTGGTACGATTGGAATCTTCTCTCTCCTTATTTCATATTCTCTCCCTTCTCTCTACCTTCTTCATCCGTCAATCTCCAGAGGGAGTCGCCGGCATCTCTTGGCGACCGGCGGCAACCCATTTTTTCCTTTCCAGCTTATGTTTTTGCCATCTTTCTAGTCTGTGTTAGGCACTTTCCATTTCGCTAAGTGGAATCTTCCACAAACCTCTCTTTGTAGATGGTTTCTTTTGCCAGATCTAATCTGTTTGTTTGCAGATTTTGATTTGGGTGTGGTTTCAGGGTGAGCTAAGGAGATTTTCTCTTTGGTTGTTCTCCTTCTTCAAGGTTTATGTGCTTCCTCCTCCTTTTTTTGCCCAAGCGACGTGGTGATTCGGTGGAGCATGGGTTTTCCTTTGAGAGACCTTAAACTCTTTTCCTTGTTGGCTGAGAGCGGGTTGCCGTTCGTCACTGGATGCTTGTCGCCGGTCCCGAAGTTTGCCGCGGGGGATGATCTCGCCTGGGTTTATCTTATGCTTTCTCGGGTGTCTTGATTCCTTGTGGGGGTTTCATCTCTTAAGGTGTTTTCCCTTGCCGTCTCCTCGTTCTGCTTCAAACGACCTGTTCGCCTTCATTTGGAGTTGTTTCCGACGGTGGCGGCTTCTTCTTTGGAGTTTCCTGGTGGCAGATCTATGATGGTGCGGTGGGATGAAGAATAGTTTCTAGGGTTCTTGCTCATTGATCTTTTGGGCTGGCCGTTTGTGCTTGTGGGCTTTTTGTGGATGGGCTTTGAAACTCTGTACTATTGTTTATTGTACCTTCATTGGGCTTTGCCCTTTACCTGTAACTTTCATTGGTTTATTAATATTAATGAACTGATGTTTCTGTAAAAAAAAAAGTACAACTGGTACCATTTCGATAGTCCCGAATTTTTCGGGTGTTTGATGTTGACTTCTCAATGTATCATCAATTTTTAAAGTGCTCCACTTAATACATTTAACCTTCGGTTCTTACAAGAACTCATCTATTTCACCTCAAAACATATTTTTCATTTAAACTCAGAATGTTCTATTAGGGTTGGAGGTTCGGTTGCTGGTTAACCGACCGGTTAAACCGATAAACGACAGTTACATGCTAACCAACTAACCGAAATAAACGTTGGCGGGCGGTGTTCGGTAGCGGGGTTAGATGATTGGTTAACCGACTAACCGACACATCTAACCCCCTCATTCTCGTAAAACGACGTTGCACCACTTCCTAAGACCAAACCCTAATCGAAGCCACCCCTAACCCCTTCCCTTCTCTTCTCTGCATCGCGAAGACACGAGCTCTCTGCCCGCCGCCTGCCTTGACTCCTCCCTGCCGTATGCCCTGAAGGCCGAATCTCTCCCCCTCCATCAGTCCATCTCGTTCTCTCTTCTTCCCACTCCCAGGTGGCCCCAGCGGAGCACGAGAGCGACGCTGCCGCTCTCCGCCATCTCCTTCCCTGACCCGCGCCCCTGCTGCTCCGCCATCTCCTCCCCGACCAGATTCCCGACTCGCCGCCAGCCACAGTCCTTCGCCGACGTTCCTCCATCGCCAGCCATAGTCCCCCGCCGCTGTTCCTCTGCTGACCAGTCCATGAACAGCCAGCAGCCACCGCTGTTCATCCCCTCTGATCAATCTGATGTGAGTTGTGACTTCACAGTTCAGACTTGTTTTAAATTTGTGATGGATAATTCATAGTTTTAATTTAGATGATCATGAAATGGATAGTGAGCCTTCTTTTGTGGGCAGGCATGGCAGCCTTCGGTTTCAGATGCACATGAAAATGTAACTATGAAAGTGTATCATGTTAAATTGTTAATGAAATGGCTTGTACTTATGGACAACAGGACATGCTTGTTGTTAGAGAAATGGCTTGTACTTGTACTTGTGGACAGCAGGACATGCTTGTACTTGTTGTTAGAGAAATGGCTTGTACTTGTACTTGTTGACAACTACTTTTTTTCGTTCATTATGGATTAGATAATTGATCATTGAGAATGATAATTAAATGAGTGTTATGTGTGTGTGAATTATGTACAGCAAGATTCCTATTTGTCTTGTGGTTATGGCCACTGATTTAGATGATTTTTTTTAATTGAGTTTCAATTTGTGTAATTATTTTTGTAGGGCAAGACCTCCGGCTCCTCGTGGTGGACGTGGCGGATGAGGTGTCCCTACTGCTCCGAATGCTCCTCGTGGTGGGAGACCTACGGCTCCTCGAGGTTGTAGTGGTGCGACTGCTCCTGTTCTGATCCGGGTGGGCGTACAGGAAGCCGACCTGTTCAAGCTACTGAAGCTGAACCGTCTTCATCAACTCCATCGATTCCCTCCCCTGTCGATAGTGGAAGTACACCTGCCGAGAGTCCTGCTGAGATTCCTTCTGTTGACACGGGCGCTCCTGATTCAGAGACAGCTACAGAAGACATTTTTTACTACGAGAAATGGTTGAAGACGGCGGGTAAAGCTCATTGTTGGAAGGTGTTTAAGAAGGTGATAGTTGACAGCTACCCGATGGGTGATAGTTGACTCAAGAGGTGGGCTTTCAACTAATCAAGATTGACAGATGATTAAGAAGTTGAAAGACTATCTGAAAGTCTTCAATGACTTGACCCTTCTAGTCTTTGGTAAGTGAAATTTCTGAATTGCATTGTTTTATTTAAACTTTTTAACCATTTGCCCATTTCTATTTGTTTTATTCTAATCTTCTGTGTTATCTTCCCATTGTACAGGAACTAAATATGTGATTATCCATATCTTCTTCAAGAAGCTTGTTACAGTATATGACATCATTGAGCAATTGAAGAATGATCTGCATGAAGAGATCCAAAAAATGGCTGAGAAGGTTGAGGAAAAGGTACAAAAGTATTGGTTTGAGTCATGTGTTGTGAACGAGAAGAACATGAAGGTGAACCACTTAATTTATATAGCATGTGTGCTTGATCCAAGAAGTAAACTTGATTTGGTGTCCGAGGTTTTGGCAATGATGTATGGGAATGTGAAGGGAGGAGAAATGGTTAACTGCATTAGGTCAGAAATGCGAGAGCTGTGTGAGGTTTACAAAGGGAAGTATGGATCAAAAGCACCCTCCTCTACATTTGAGCCTACGACTGGTGAGAGCACGGCTGGTGGTGATAGAATTAAGCAGCTCGAGGAGAGGCTTACGAAGAGGAGAAGGGAAGCACTTCTGCAGGATACAAAAGGTAGCTATGCTGAGCTTGACATCTATTTAAGATGTCAAACTGATGACATCAACACTCTGGAACATATTCGATTCTTGCTGAGATGGCTCAACACATCTGTTTGACATCTTGAGTGGGTGGTCTCGACACTCTGGAACATATTCGATTCTTGCTGAGATGGCTAAGGATATCCTAGCTGTTCCCATCTCTCCTGTTGCCTCAGAGGCAACCTTCAGCTGTGGCGGTCGGATTCTCAGTCCATTAAGGTCCTCTTTGAGTGATATAATGTTGGAGTCATTGATTTGTGAGGAGGATTGGATAAAGTATCAAACTACCGAGGCCGGAGAGAATGACGATAGGGAAGATGATGAAGAGATCATGGATTTGGAAAGCAGTAAGTTCTAAAACTCTTTTAATTATTGTTTGTTCAAGTAAACATATACTATTTCTCTCCACCTAATTCAATGTATGAATATTGTAATGCTTTGTTTTCTTTTTCCTTACTTAGTTAATACCACTTTCCATTCTAGAATGGAAAGTGCAACAAGTGATGTTGGCAATGTTGCCAATGCAGATACAAGTCTGAACATTCCAAATGGGAATGAGGAGGGTGAAGAAAATGTGCCGGAGGAAGAGTATGAGAAAGATGGATACGACGATGTTGGTTATGACCTCTTGCCGCAATTGAAAGAAAAGGGTTATGTAGATGTTGGTTCTTCTTCTGTTGATAAGTGATGATTTGGTGGTGACTTGTTGATGCTATTTGGATTGGATCTATTGTAATTTGTGACTTTAAGAGGTTTATGACTTTATGTTCTAGTATTTGAGACATTAATTTGGTGATTTAAATCTATTTTCTTTGCAAAAATGATTTAAACTTGACTTGTGGCGCGATTTAGATGTAGAAATGTAGGGTTGAACGTTTAATTTTAGACAATTTTAGCGATCTTGTTTGTGTAGGGGGCTGTCCGGTTCGGTTACTCGGTTATAACCGTGCCGAATGTGGTGTTGTGGTTATCTCGGTTAATCGAGCAACTAACTGGTAACCGACTGGTCGGTTGGCGGTAGGCCGTAGGGGTGTCTGGCTTCGCTGTTATCGGTTATAACCGAAGTAACCAAACGTCCAGATCGGTTATCGGTTATAACCGAAGTAAACCAACGTCCAGCCCTATGTTCTATATAGTCCATAAATCTCTTATGTACTTTTCTGTTGTAAAATTTGACCAACCTAAGACTTTTCTAACGTGTTATAACAAGTACCTTTAATTTGAAGAATCTTTTTATTCGCCCAACCCACTAATAATCGCATATCTACACAATAAGGAATCTTTTTAGCAAAAGCATCTAAATGTGTGCAATCTTAACAGTTTCCCTTTCCTGTGATTAAACTATGGACTTATTAAGGCCCCTAATCTAACAAAACAAAACTTATATATCTGATCTTTAAGGCCCCATTCACATGTATAGAATTAGGGATGATAATTATTCCTACCAATTAGTTACTATGGAGAACTTTTTGTATTGATTAGGTATGGAATGAGATCGCCAGAATAATACTATCAACATTCGATACGGGAGGTATTGGACTTGGTGTGGTGAATGGTGATTCGGGATGATGGTGGGCGGGTGATTCTTGCTGCTGCAACGAAAGTTCTGGGACAATGGGAGCCAGAAATGGCGGAAGCTCTAGCTGCAGAAATGGGTGTACAATTAGCTCGATAGTTTTCGCTTCCAAACCCGATTCTGGAGACGGATTGCCTCACTTTGATCAAGAAGCTGGATAGCGCCGAGGAAATACGAAAATCGGCATAGTATGCAGAAGCATCCTTCGTTGTATCCATGATATGAGCAATGGATTATGGTGCTTTACGCCGAGAGAGGGCAATGCCGCTGCACACATTATGGCTCGATCGGAAACTAGGTGGAACGAGAGAGAAGTTTGGCTGGATAGGCCTCCTGTTTTTTTGGTTGATTAGATTAAACTGGATGATGTAACCGCAAACTGTGATTAATAATATGAGCCCAGATTTCCATAAAATTTTTTTGTCTCATTTGTCCCCACTTGATAAGATGTTTGTACACATTCATAATTCCAAGTCAAGATATCTCTCGTTCTATTATTGAGTTCATAAATATATGAGATGCTTAGTGTTTGTCTCAATCATTTTCTAATTGGCACATTCCTTCAATAATGCTCTATTTTGAGGTGACGTGCATATAATTATCCGGATGGTTAATACGAGGGATTCGTCGCACGGAAAATGAAGGCCTATCATGCAAGAGATTCAGGTGCTATGATCATCGTTCAACGTGTTACTTATCATTTTGCACTACGTATGTATAATAGAGCTGTCCATATCGTGGTAAGCCAAGTCCTTTAATTTTATCGTTGGTTGGTACACTTGACAACCAACATTTTATTCTTCTTATTTCCGCAATGTGACATGACCTGCAAATGTTTTTTATGTTCTCATATTTAAACTGTTTCGAGATACCTATGGCAAAAAAATGATGATGCTACCTACAACTTGCCAAAGTAACTCGTGATCAAATGCATACCCATTTTCATACATATACGTATATATAGATTAGGATGGGAATGAGTCAACTCATTGGCTAATTTGATCCATTTATCATGACTCATATGGATATTAGATTGGACCCAAATGGACCTAAATAAACTCTTACTAGTTTTGGGTTTGGAATGAGCCAAATTTGAGCCAACTCATACTCATGTGAGTCCGACCCAAATGAGTCTTTTCCATACAAATGATTGTAAAAAAGAGCAATATAAACCATCTGATCACTAATTGTTTTCAACCCAATTCACACCTTCAAATGTTTTGTATTTTCACATTTCTATTTGTTTGAGATCAAAGAGAAGATGCCTTAGAATCAAGTACCCATTTTCTTTTAGGTAGCCTATATGGCTATATCAAGAAGAGTCTACTTTATACCCAAACGAAAATGTTGGATATAGGTCTGAACCAAAAGTGATACTACCATACATTGTTTGAACTATAATAATTTGGGCCTTGGAATACAAAAAAATAGGGTCTTTATTGCCATCATTAAATTAGATGTTTTTATATTTATATTAAGTTGGATAGATTTGATAGTTAAGATTAAATGAAATTTGTTCAATTTCCTACATTTTCCCATCTCCTTGTATCTCCTTCATTTTAACATAAAATTTAAATATTTATATTTAAGAATTATATTAATTATGCTCTACATAATAATACTCACTTTTTACATTTTTCGAGCATAATATTTTGGACAAAATATAACACCTTCTACCACAATCATATGACAATGATATATTACATACAACCATGATATAATTTTCAATATTACCTTGATATAGCATGATATACTGCAATAAAGAACCAATCTGTTAAGCTTTTTTGGACCCTATCTCTCAGATTTCTCGATCCACCATTGCATAAATGCCAATGAGATGGATCACGGCTACTTTCCATTGGAAAAATGGATTGGATTTCGTAGTTATCAAAGAATAGATCCCAATGAGCATCTTTTTCTTTTTTGCTTCCGTCTAAAGCTTTTCCTTTTCCATGCCCCCAAAATTTTCTGCATTAAGGGGACAATAGCAATGTAGACATGTAGTGAAAGCTAGCATTGGATGATTCTGATCGTTTGTTTTGTAGGAATCAATGAGGAAAACAAAGGAGAAAAAGATGGTAAGAAAAGATTTGCAAATTGCATGCAATGTGATTGTGGCTTATTGTATACAAAGACTTGGACAAATTGAATAGAATTTCCAAAAAGATGCATGATGTGCAGCAACTTTACAGTTGGGTTCACCTAAAAAATAACTTTACAGTCGGTTGGTGGGTTAATTATATTCATTCACGTATGGAATAATATATGTACCTTTGGTTCTTCCATGCCATCTTTGGGAAAAGATTATATTAGTCTATGATATTTAAATTAAAAGCTTAGTCTTATATATTAGCTACGTGTCAAATTTTAATTATCTTGTATATTTTTGGAACCTTAGTTAATATGTTCTAATGTTATTTACCTAGAATCTAGTATATGGAATAATCCAATATGTCATAATAGACTTTGCAGGTTGTATGCAGTCAAAATTGAGATTTAAATTTTAAAATTCGACCATCTTATGATTTTACTTACCTGTTCCGATCTGAATTTTACTATCAAAATTTTAAAATCTTACAATTTTACAATTCAAATTCTTTGGGTCAATTTTACTTATTTTTCCCATAATTTACAAAATTATGCATCTTTTCCTTCTCCTCCACCAACATCATCTACTTCTCTTACACTAACCATCATATATTCACATCCAACATATTAATCATTATCGATTCACCACTTTCCAACATTAACCTTAATAAATTGGAAAATTAACTTTGAGAAATTATCATTGTAAGTATTATGTGTTTTTGTGTTATTTATGTTTTTTTTATTAATATTATTCCATCTTTGTTTATATGGTCCTTAAAATCCTACGATTTTAAGATTAAGATTTTCCCCCATTTTTGATTTTACGTAAAATCTCAATTTTGACTACTATGATTGTATGTATGGAATTTTATTCTACTCTCGATATTTGAGGTTGTGGAATGGTTCCTCTAAAGATAAAATGGATTACCTAACCGGACTAGCGGTACTTCAAACAAGAGAATCTGGCATTCTACATTTCAGGTAAAAGTTGATAATAACGATTATTAAACATTTGATAATGAAAACTATATGTGCACACATGACATGACGTTCCTAATTAATGAAAACTTGGCAAATATAATCACAAACAAGTCTAATAAACAATTAATGACAACATTTTGGGAGCTCATTACTAATGGTATCAATAATGATAAAGTTGTGAATTAATGACATTGTGAATCATTAGTATAAATGTTGTAAATCAATGATTCATTCATAAACTTTGATGATGAAAATGTAAAACAGTAACGATTGATTCAAAATTCTTAGTAATATAATTGTAAAGAATCGATACGTATATTGTAATCGTTAATAATGATAAGGTATAGTAATAATGATTTATTTCATATACGTTAATAATGTCATTGCAAAACGTTAATACTACATTGGAAGTTGTCACGAAGTGAGAGATCAGATTTTTAATAATTTCTATTTTAAAGAGGGGAAAATTATTAAGTTCAAATTTTATTAAATATTAATATTTAACTAAATTAATTTCGGGTTTCCTTTTAATTGTAGCGGAGAGAATCTTACAAAATAAAATTGTAGTGGAGAGAGAGGGTTATGAAGAAAGTTATGGGAGGAATCAATAATTTATTCATAAACTTTGATGATGAAAATGTAAAACAGTAACAATTGATTCAAAATTCTTAGTAATATAATTGTAAAGAATCGATACGTATATTGTAATCGTTAATAATGATAAGGTATAGTAATAATGATTTATTTCATATACGTTGATAATGTCATTGCAAAACGTTAATACTACATTGGAAGTTGTCACGAAGTGAGAGAGCAGATTTTTAATAATTTCTATTTTAAAAAGGGGAAATTATTAAGTTAAAATTTTATTAAATATTAATATTTAACTATATTAATTTCGGGTTTCCTTTTAATTGTAGCGGAGAGAATCTTACAAAATAAAATTGTAGTGGAGAGAGAGGGTTATGAAGAAAGTTATGGGAAGAAAGAGAATGAAAATAATCAATTATTAATATTAATTACGTTTGCAATATCAATACCCTATTTATCCTCAACTACCTATTAACTACTAACCCCTTATTAACTACTTAATCCACTATCAACCAATAAAATGACTTAAGACAATATGCTTAAACTTTTGGGCTTAAGCACAGAAACCCAAGCCGGTGGGTAGGGTATCTCGTGTTTTTTAGTTTTTTAAAATTTCGAAAGCAGCTTTGTTTAACAATTAATTTCTATCTAAATTTTTTTAGTAATCCCACCAATTATACTATTTGAAACCACAATATATAATTTCAATAACTCAATTTATCTAGAGAAAACCAAAGAAATCTGTATACAAAGTTAGCTTTACAAACTTTGAAGCCTTTCCCACCATATTATTATACCATACACTACAGAACCATACTTTTCCAAGAACATATCGTTTTCAAATGAGCTCTCACACACACATATATACATCCTCTTTCTCTTAGCTAGCTAGCTAGCTAGCTAGAATATGTACTTCCCGATCTCATTTGCTATCTCTTTCCAACAAAAAAAACAAAACAAAAGATTCCTTACGGTGGGAGGCAGCTTCAGGGAGGCTTCACCAGTTCTAATGAGTTGGTATTGTGTTTTTGTGTGAGCATACATTTGAAGATTCCTTAAGATGTATACAAATAACTGATCTCGTCCTTTCAAGTTCCACACTTTTCGTTCACATAGGACAACGAACCGAAAGAAAAAATCAACATAATTTTGATCCGATACACGTTATGAAACTGGCTGGTTTTGGGTTTGAACGTCTCACGAACTCGCCGTTTGTTATCCTTAGAACTCACATACCTTATACGGAAAAAGTAAGGAATTTAGTGGCTTAAGAAAGAAATCCAAATCAAAAGAGACAAAAGAACAAAACATAATAGCTATCTATAGATTCCCTTCAATCTTTCTCAAGACTAATACCAGAGACACAAGAATTCAATACTGAGTGATGGGAACAAATGTACCCCAACCAAACAATCCCTTACATAAAAATCCCATTCCCCATCCTCCAGGACTTCCCATTCTGTATGCAAAAATTCAGAGCATTCAAACCAAAATGGAACCCTCCATGGTCCCCACCTTACCCTATACACCAATCAAACCAAACATGCCCTTAATCAATTCACTACATTATAATCCTCATCCTACGTGGATTGTGGAATACTCTCCCTATAAATACCCTCCCTCCCTTTCCCAAACCTTCTCAACTCATCTCTCTCTAGCTCGCAGTTCATACTATACTCCCAACTCTGAGAGTAAAAACTCACTTCTGATAAGCACAAAACGACATAGCTAGATGTCGGGAGTGTGGGTGTTCAAGAACGGCGTCCTACGGTTGGTGGAGAACCCAACAAACGAGTCGTCGTCGTCGGGGGCTCGAGCGAGGAAGGTGCTGGTGCACGTGCCGAGCAACGATGTGATAACGTCGTACGCGGTGCTGGAGCGGAAGCTGTCTGAGCTCGGGTGGGAGAGGTACTACGACGACCCGGACCTGCTCCAGTTCCACAAGAGGTCGACAGTCCACCTCATCAGTCTCCCTAGGGACTTCAACAGGCTCAAGCCCATGCACATGTACGACATCGTCGTCAAGAACCGCAACATGTTCGAGGTCCGCGACCTATGATCATCGTCGTCATCGACATCTTTCTTCTCTTTCTGGTTGGTAAATGGTTTGGATTAATGAATCGTTATGTGTTGTAAGATTAGGCTTTGTTAATGGGTGTATGCTTGACTTTTTGTTTTTTTGGCTTTGATTTAAGGTTACAAGGTTAATTCGTAGTGGGTACTCTAATGTGGTTTTGTTGTTAATTGTGTGTTTGGTAGAGGATTTTGCTCTTTTCTTTTGGGCAAGGTGTGTTGTTGTGAATGAATAATCTAGTGGTGGTTTTTTCATTGATTTGTGTATTCTCTTTTTTCGTATATTTAATGAATCTTAATAACTCAAAAAGTCGGATAGCAAACTTCGAGTTGATCCTCATTCCTCAAAATACTTGTAAATAGAACTTTAATTAGTTAATTCGTCCTTAATGTCCATGTAATGTTACCTCGTCATCATTTCTAAACAATTTTCATTATAACGAGTGTATAGAATGAGGACAATCATGTTGGAAATTTGGTTAAATCGGACTAACCAAGTCAAACCGGTTTTGGATTGAACAGATTAATCGGTTGGGATTAGACCGACCGAACAGATATTCTAATTCCGTGAAGGGACACATCCCTTTGGCCTAGTGGCGGTTGCATTATTTTATGGATAAGAATAACCTTATGGATAAAGACAACATTTCATATGGATAAAGACAACCTTTCGTATGGATAAAGGCAACCTTTCATGAAACAATGCATGAATTCGGCCCTTATAAATATGTATATGGGGTGGATGATACAACATACCATAAAAACATATTCTTCTTCTTTCTTCCAAAAATTTCTAAGTATGCTTTAGTGTTCTTGAGCCTAGAACCTAAAGTGGTGATAGTTTTATCCTCGGGAGAAATTTCATGTACCCCAAGGCTTTGTAGAGGATGGAAATATTCTTTTCGGAAAGTGAACGTAGCTCACGGCTCTATCACAATCCTGGTCACCCAGTCTCGGGCTATCGTACGTGTACCCTTGTCGCAAAAGTCCCAACAAATCACGACTGCACTCTTCACTAAATATACGTTTGTGTATGTCCACTACTTATATGCAAGGTTAACTAGCATACCCTAGTTAATTTTAGAACACAAAGGATGAGAGAAACTTAGCTTATAACTGTATGGGGATGGTTAGGGTTAGAAGTTTGGTACCGGTATTTGGGATATACCGAATATCGTACCGAATTTGTCTATATTTTGTATTACCGAATACACGTATTATTTTGTGGATTGGGATTGAGATTGAGTTTCAATTGTTATTCGATATTAGGGATTACGTGATTGGGATCAGTATATACCGAAATACCGATCAATATCAAAATATAAGCTATTGTGTATTTTATTCTCTCAACTACACTCTTTCATTCACTACTACGCGACCCTCAAGCACTAAGAGTGTCATTTAGTTATACATAGATCATTCCTTCGTTATTTCACACTAGTATTAGTCGTCTCTCAACCTCTAATTTGTCAAATTAAAGATTACCATTTACAAGAGCTTGAGATGTTAGCTCTAGGCAACTAAAAACTCTTTGCTTAGTCTCTTTGTCGTAAATTAAACAATACGATCTCATTTATATATTTAATTATTAATTGCAAAGGTAATTAATTTTGTATTCGATAATACCGATTGGGATACCGAGGTACCAATTGGGATACCGAAATTATTTAGGGATTGAGATTGAGATTGATTTTAGAATGTAATTCGATATTCGGGATTTTGGTATTTGGTATTGTGATACCGATACCGTACCTATTTCCATCCCTAAATGGTATAGAAAAAAGTGGTGGGTGGTAGAGAAGTGTAAGCATGTTTGAATAGGGTAGGGTTACATTATTTGATGGTTTAATACACTTATATATTCAAGACTTTTATGGTTGTGCCAATAATATCCAAATTTCCCAAAACACCACTTATATCCATGTTTTAAAGTTGTTCTTTGCCAAACATATCCATTTCCGTTAAATACTTTGACAGCGTTAATAACTCCGTCAACATAGCTAACGGCAAGCTGACTGGGCGCCAACTAAGCAGACACGTAAGCGTCAACTATGCCAAACGTGACACGTAATAAATTAAAAATCATTTTAAATAATTCCCCCCACCATATACCCACTCACGAAGAGCACGACCAGAAAAAAATTTCCGCTTTTGTGTTTAGGGTTCGCACCCTGGCGGCGATTGAACCTCCTCCTGTCGACTGAATCTCCTCCCGACGATTGAAGCTCCTCCGTCCGACTGAATATACTCCCTGGATAGTCTGCTACCATTCCCTCTTGAGATTCACCAGGCCTTTATCCACATCTCTTCTCAGATCTGTCTTCTTTTATGACTACTCATCTTCTCGCCATCGTTTAGTCGATGTCCAATCTCTAGCAACATGGATTTTAGCCTATTAATTTTGATATGATATGAAGTAGGGGGTTTGAAGGAGCATGCCGCCATTTCTCCAATTCTTCCCCTGCCTCTTCTTCCCCCTCCGCCGTACCGTATCACCATTGTTATCGGTGACAACACCCTAACTCGACATATCTACGATTCGCGGTGAGGAAGCTCTCAAATCAAAGTTTTCTCCCATCATTCCCCTTCCTCTCCTTCCACCTCCGACGCACCCAACCACTATTATTATTAGCGGCGACGACTTGGGATTCTGGCCAGGCCGATGTAGATAAACAAGAGGCAGTTGCGGCGGGAGATGATAGATAGCTAATAGTTTGATTTGATGTTAATGGTCGATCTCTGGGAACTTCGATTCACTTTCTGATTTGATGGATATGAATGGGGTTGCTGAGTTGTGGCATCGACAAGGTAAGGGATTCAAGAGGATGGAAAAATCAAAAGAATGAAGCTTGGTAGGAAAAGAGGGGAAGTTGGTAGAAAAAAGGAGAAGGGTAGAAAGTTAGGTCGAGACGAGGGGTGAGGTCAGATGTGTGGTTTGAAATTTTTATTGTTTAATTTTTAAATTAAGTTAATCAGCAATCCACGTGGATAATTACAGGGGAATTGGGAAATAAGCGTTCGCCACGTAAGCACCACCGTTTGTCTAGTTAGACTTAACGTTAACACCGTTAAAGAATGTGATGGAATTGAATATAAGTGGTATTTCGGGAAATTTGAATATTATTGACACAACCATAAATTTTTTGGATATACAAGTGTATTAAACCTTATTTGATTGGATATATCATTTGAGGATGGGTGTTTGACGATTCTCTCTTCAAAGTAGTACTACCTTTGCCAAGAATAGAAACCCTTTCCCATAACTGGGGTGTATAAGTGACATAATATACAACAACAAAAAAACCCTACAACTTCTCAGATTACTTGTGGGCAGTATATTTTACAAAATTTTCAAGTGGGGATTGATTTGTTATATCAATGAAGTGAATTATTGTTGTCTAGGGTATCATTTTTTACTATTACGAAAGTACAAGGATGAAGTTGAATTTTTTTTCTTTAAAATCATTATTTGTATAACAGCTAGCCTCACCATTATGTATTGGACTGGTTCCGATCGAGCCTCATTTGTTCTTTTATTTCTGGTTCAATCCTATTCTGATTCGGTTTGGCTTTGGCTTTGGATTGAATCGAGAGATGCTCACCCCATTCTTCTTGAGTATGATTGGTATTGAGTAAAGTTACCATGGCTAGTATTATATCAGCATTTCTATTATGCTTTTAAAGTATTGATATTTTGGAATATAAGTTGAAGTTGTAACATAATAGAATTCGTACCTTTATGTTATGGCAGAGGCTGAACTAGACCGTAATAAGGGTTTCATGGTACCCCTTATATTTGGAGAAAAGCTCAAAATAGTAGTAGTATTAGTTAGTTAATAATGATATTTAAATTCTGAATTTCAATATCAATCATCAAATCTTCTACCGTTAAACCACGACAAACTGTATAAATTAATTTCATCTACTAATTTATACATTAATACATTCTGGTTTATCAAGATGTATAAGAGATGCATATTATTTTGATTAGGATCGGAAGAGGCCCATATTATTAGAATACATTATTAACTTTTTATGACGATAGTCGTAAGAGAGATTTAGTTCTCATCAATGTATTTGCATGTGAAAAATAGATGTGATTTGCTACCGTCATTTATCAATGCACAATTTAGTAACATTTTATGCAATGAAACGATTGACCAACCTTCACATCTAGTGAACTAACATTGTGAATGGTTATTTGGTGGGATACATTAAGTGTGAAATCTTGATAGTTTGACCAATTCATATAGTTATAAAATGATTTCACAATATGAAACATGGGACTGCACATGTATTTTTTTATGGCACCCCCTTGTTAAAATCCTAGCTACGCCACTGGTTATGGTACAAGTTGAAGTTGTACCATAATATAAATGTACAAATTTAGTTTAAGAATTTGTACAAAAGAGTATAAGTACAACCTAAAGTTCTACCTTTAAAGATACATCTCAATTTGTACCATAAAAATAAATAAAAAACTAAAGCACCAAATGCCTTAAAGCATCATAAAATCCTCAGTATTATATAGAACTTGTTATAGATTCATATTCTGTATTAGAATACTATATAGAGATTAATTAGTTATTTAAGAGCTATTGTATAAGTCTATTATTTACTCTACATAAAGCACTTGCTGTTTCAATAAGTAGTATGACATAACAATTCACATCGAATTCTAATTTATTGGCGTTAACGATGTACGTAATTTGGGACTTTAGAGGTATTCGTCAAATCTCATATGTACGTGGACGCATAAATGGCTAACCCTACTAAAGCTCTTTTAACTGGAAAAAATCACAAAGTGCACATGTTCTAAAAAAAAAATCCCAAAATACATAAGTTATAAATTTTTTTTCCAAAACTACACATGTTTGGCATTCACCGTTTTTGACAAACGCAGTGAATATATTCACCGTGTTTGACAAAAGCGGTGAATAATTCACCGTTAAAAAAAAACGGTGACGTATTCACCGTTTTAATCTAAAACGGTGAAGTACCAGCGAGGCAATCACCGTTTTAGACTGAAACGGTGAATCAATCACCGTTTTAATAAAAAGCGGTGATCATTAGATCGCTGTGATTGGCCACGATGAAGCGAAGCGGATCGCTGACGTGGACAAACGCGGTGTATTCACCGCGTGAGACAAACACAGTGAATACCCCGTGTTTGTTTGCGTCAACGATCCGCGTCGCTGCCGCGTTCACCGTCGCCGTTGGATGCGGTGAGGCGCGGATCGTGGTTTTCTTCCCAGATCTGACGCCTCACGCTAAGCCACGTCACTCGATCCGCGCCTCATTCACCGTTTTCTTTTAACGCAGTGACTTCACCGCTGTAAACTAACGCGGTGAATGCTCCACTTTTTCCTTCGACAGATCCCTTCCCCCACCTATAAATAGACCCTTCCCCCACCACGTACAACTCACACCACAACCATTTCACTTCTTTCTCCCTCAATTTATCCGCTCTAGTCTCGTTCTAAGTATGCTCTGTGGTTGCGGATAAATCCAATCTTCCACATCAGAAAAAATTACTAGAGTTTGACCCTAAAGCCCCCGTCCCGCTAAGGTCCCGTCCCTTGCAAATCTGAACCCTTCGAACCTCTGTCCGGCTTCTGCCAAAAAATGGACGAAGAGGCTCTTCGTGTAGGTTTTTTTGTGTTCTTATTTTTACTAGTAAAAATTTGATTTTGTGATTTTTTTATCAAAACAATCTCTGATTTGATTACTTTTTTATAGATGGGTGCCGAGATATACGATCCTCGATTGTATATTCATTATGGGCCAAGAGATATGAGACTCTTAACCGATCAAGAAGCTCATCGCTCCCGTGCTATTTGGGATAATAATCCGGTAATTTTATGATTTATTTGCTTTATTTTATTATTTTCTAAGGTTTTATTTTGCTTTATTTAAACTAAAAAATTGATGTTTTTCCTATTTTTTTTTAAGGAATCACTTATTCCCGTCGTTCATAAAGGGACCACAAACTTGCCCCCTTGGCATCCACGGTTGGCGCCCTATATAGAGAGGACCGGGTTGGGTATGTTGCGCCATTTCACTCGGATCGAAATCGACAACGATCTGCTTACGGCAATGGCGGAGCGATGGCGTCCCGAAACCCATACGTTCCACCTTCCGGAGGGGGAAATGACGATCACCCTCAAAGACGTGGCGATCCTCACCGGGCTGCCGATTACTGGAGATGCCATCATTGACACTTCTACCAAACCCGAAGGAGGTTGGGGGCCGCTCATTCTTGCTGAGTTGGGATTCGACATGCCGACCACCACACCAATTCAAGGACGGGGCCATCCATCGTTGAATGCGGGACAAGTGTCGGTCCCGTGGCTGGTAGCTCACATCCAGAATGAGGTGCATATCGATGACGAGACTCCGGAAGATCAAGTGGAGCGCTATGCACGCATCTACCTCATTGGTCTGGTGGGTGGATTTCTGTTTCCCGACAAGTCAAACCGGTGGATTCAAGGCATATGGTTGCCATTACTCACTAGTGACTGGGACGCAATAGGGGGAAAGAGCTGGGGATCGGCCATGTTAGCTGGCATATACCGGGAGCTGTGCACTTGCTTGAAGGTGGGAGAAAAACAAGCCGGTGCTGCGATGTTCATCCTACAACTGTGGGTATGAGAGCATCTTCCAATGTTCGCACCTCAAGACCCACGTCCATACCATTCGAGCAGGGCGTACTTCAGTTGAGCGAGAAGACGATGTTGGTGATGGTGGTCATGTTGATCCTTCTGGGCAGAGCTATCCATTTGACTCAAGCGACGAGGATACTGAGGAAGATTTGAGATCAGTGAGTGAGGAGGAAGATACTAATGATAACGACGACGAGGCGACATTTCGTGAGGCACCCACACCATACTACACACAGGTTCCAAATCAATTTCTACATAGTCAGAATGATGCCCCCGACTTTGTCCCTATGCCAGTGTATAATCCGACGGCCGATTTGGAGGTGGGTATGACGTTCTCATCGAAGGACGCTGTGCAGGATGCCTTTACCGAAGAGGCCTTGAGGCGCAACTTCGAGTGGAAGGTAAAATATTCTGACAGTAAACAATTACATGTCATATGCAAGAATGATGCAGAGGGTTGTACGTGGCAACTGCGGGCTGCAAATATGAAGAGAAAGGGTGCCTGGGTTCTTCGAAAAGCCGAGACCAACCACACTTGCTCCTCGTCCATTGCCGTAAGCTGTGGGGCTTCAAGTTTTCTCATTTGGCTTTTATTTATGGGTTAATATTTTCGTATGGCCTGAACTTTGACCAAAATAAACATCCTAGCCAATCTTTTCGATCTATAACATCCTGGCCCGAACTATACATCAAAATAAACAATTTGGCCAGATCCGACTTTTGACCGTTAACTTGCATAGTCAAAGGCGTTGACCGTTAGTCAACGCGCCATGTCACTGCCAAGTCAGCATAAAATATTTAAAATAATTCACAATTTCCACACATTCCCTAATTTTAAATTATTATAAATTAAAAAAATAATCTAATACCTTAGTTAAACCAAAAATAAAAAACGAAAAAAATTAAATATTTATCAGATCTTCTGACTTGGCAGTGACGTGGCGCGTTGACTGTTAGTCAACGCGTTTGACCGTCCAAGTTAACGGTCAAACATCGGGTTTGGCCAAATTGTTTATTTTGGTGTATAGTTCGGGCCAGGATGTTATAGATCGAAAAGATTGGCCAGGATGTTTAGTTTGGTCAAAGTTCAGGCCATACGAAAATATTAACCCATAAATAAAAGCCAAATGAGAAAACTTGAAGCCCCATTTCAAATTTCCTGCATCCAGAGTGAAAATAGGAAGGACATTTTGGTCTTCACAATTATATTTTTTTATTCATTAAAAAGACACTTACTAGGATTCAAACCATGACCACTTCAAAGAAAAGCAAAGATCATAACCAATCACACTAAGTACATTTGTTGTATCTTTTTAAATTAAAAACATATAATCGCTGAGAGGAAAAAACCATTCCCCATTTCAAATTCCCTACTCCATGAGCGTTTGTAGGAAGTGTAGAATAGGGAGTGGCAATTTTTTTCCTTTTCCACTATTGAACGGGCCAACTTACCGTACACATGCGGATTTAAAAAGTCCAGGAGTGTCAATTTTTTTCTTTAAGTCCTTTTATTTCTCCGTGGTGGTAAAATATATATGAAAAGACAAAAACAATACTCCTTTTTATTGCTAAAAAGAAAAATAATTAACTATAAACTAATGCATGGATTCTAATGGGCTAACCGCTAATCATAAAATAAAAGAGTTGAATGAGCCTAACCTACACGGGATTTGCCCATCAAGTAAAACAACTGAACATCATGGGTTTGCCATTCTAAAACAAGCTATTTTCTCTAGCATAATATATATTATGCTATTATTTTATATCTTAGTGGCTAAAATTTAATGTATTTTAAAGTTATTCAATGGTTCAACCTCGACCAAGCCAATTAGTCCAATTTTTGTCATTTCAAATATATATTATGTAATTATTGATATCATAATGATTAAATTATAGTGTATATTATTGGGAATCGTTTAGTATTTGTTAGTAAAAAACTAAACATTAACACTTTTCCTTTCGAAATTCTATAGTTTTATTCCCGAATCAGTGATGTGCAAATGGCGAATTGCAGTCATCTCTTTTCTTTCATTATTTTTTATTTTCAAATAGAAAGTTTAAAATTCAAGAATAATTAGAGTTTGGCATGGGTCGGTCAAACATGGTTCCCTGATACCCGATAAAAATCTCAATCCAAACCAGTTTGGCAGGTGAGTCCGTGTTTACCACCATTTTCTAGGGATACAGGAACGGTGGTTCCTATCCCAAATCGTGTTGTTCATTCTTGATTTATGTAGATTTTATCATGGCTTGGCAAAAAACCAGAAAGCACAATGATGACAAGATGAAAGTTTTATAAAGCAAATTAATCGGCCAACGGGCCGAGTAAAAGCTAGCAACAATTGTGACATGCTCATTTCCCGAAAACCGGCGGGATAGGCGATTTTTTATTCGATTTTCTGGAATTCGGTTTCTATAAAACTTGCTCCACCTCATCATATTACCAGAAACAATATTGTTTCACAAGGTAACAGATACTTGATTTTGGTTCATAAGACTGATTTTTTATTCGTTGCATCATTCATGTCTCTTTCCTACTAAAATTCACTATCATTATTTTTATCACGTGTTTCGACCAAATAGCCGGGTCCCGCTAGGGCCATATTAAAGGGGAAAGGAATTAACTGCAAAGGGTGAAGCAGACATTTTGAACGCGAGCCGACCGGTTAATCGGACGAGAATGATAACTGATAAGATTTTTTATGGACAAGAAAAAACCACCGAATATGAGGGAGTTGGGATTTGAACCCAGTACCTGCAAGTCAGCAAGTGACAGGTAGAAATTATCTCATTAAATAGTGTTCTTAATTTTAGAAAAATCACATATATTATGCTTAAGTAATTTATATTTATGTAAAATGATAATATTTACTAGACATATATGATTACTTGTTACAAATATAATAGAATCAATATATAATTATAATACTAATGGATTCTACTTATAATATTTTTATTTTATTAGACAACAATTCGTTAAAGGGGTTTATGGGGGCTTAATACCAGTAAAGTGAGAACGGCTTACTATACCGGTTCATACATCGGTTCGGTTCTGACAACATTGTTTGTAAGGCAAAAACTATACCGTATTCACGGTTTGACCCAAAAATCTCATATCGGAAGTTATCGGTAGACGGTATTTAGCGGTATGAAACAGTTGGACCATGATTAAACCACAATTTCAACTAATATAACTTACCGCTGACTTTTCCGATAAAACTTCTGGTATGGTTTTCAATCTCTGGTTCAAGCTAAATAAAGGAAAGACTGATTTTGTTAAACTCAAATATTTTTTAATGCATACAATAACCAAAAATCATTGATAAATTGACCACTAATCTGATTTCGAATATAATTTTTCTATCAACTTCATAGTAAAGAAAGTCATTTCACTGTTTATTATTACAACAAATGCATCAATTACAACTTCTAGAAGTGTGTCAGATATCCTAGTTTCAAATTTTATAATGACGAAACATAAAATTTCTACCAAAATCTTGAAGTGATGTTGTACATGTTCTGTCTTTTGGTCTCTTAATTATTGAGTACTCCAATATCACTTATATCATATCTGTCTTTTTTTTCCTAAGAATCAGAACAAATCCTAATTCTGCTCACATGTATAGAATTAGAACAATAATTTCTACTCAGTTACTGTGGATAATTAATTATTTTGTATCTTTAACACATACGAGCCTAATGGATTGGTGGATAAGATAATGAATATAAGTGGCATGTAAACATTGAACTAATATGTAAATTACTAAAAGGTTAAAATGTCATCATAAAAAATTTTAGATATCAAAATGTAAAGTTCCAATGATATTTTTAAAAAAAATTTAGGTACATATAAACTAAATTATAATTTATAAATAATCCATCAACCTTCCAATCTAATTAGCTTTTTATCTAATTTCAAATTGCATGCATTGTGGTCGTGGGTTTATTGTGAACAAAGACTTGGACAAAGTGATAAGAATTGCCAAAGATACATGATGTGCCCATGTGGGAGGTGGAGCAACTTTAGTGTTAAGTTAATTAATCGCGTAAGGAATAATAATAATAATAATAATAATAATAATAATAATAATAATAATAATAATAATAATAATAATAATAATAATAATAATAATAATATATACATGTACCTTTGTTGACAAATCAAACCAACCTTTACAGCTAGCATATCAATAATTAATTCCCATATGGAAGTGGAAACTTTTCCAGCAAAATAACAAATACCGGAAATTCCCACGCATGGCACTCGAGGCTGACAATAATTAAGTATATCATTATAATCCTCATCCTATGTGCATTCTCCCTATAAATACCCTCTCGCTTGGGATAATCACAAATAAACTCGCTTGCAGATAAGCACAAAACGACAAAGACACGATGTCGGACGACTCAGGGTCAGGGGTGTGGGTGTTCAAAAACGGCGTGGTCCGGCTGGTGGAGAACCCAGGGAGCGAGGCGGGGACGCGCCCGAGGAAGGTGCTGGTGCACGCGCCGACGAACGAGGTGGTGACGTCGTACGCGGTGCTGGAGCAGAAGCTGTCGGAGCTCGGGTGGGAGAGGTACTACGACGACCCGGAGATGCTGCAGTTCCACAAGAGGTCGTCCGTGGAGCTCATCAGCCTCCCCAAGGAGTTCCACAAGTTCAAGTCCATGCACATGTACGACATCGTCGTCAAGAACCGCACCATGTTCGAGGTCCGCGACGGATGATCGATCGTCGTCAATCACTGGCATGGGAGAACGATCGATTTCGGCTAGCTCCGGCCATCTGTCTTACGATCGATCTCTCTTTCTTTTTCTTTCTGTTGGTGTACGTGTTTGGGTAATAATAACGTTGATTTGTAGTGTGGCCGCTGGTTTGTTGATACTTGTGTGTTTGCCGGATTATTTCCCTAAATACAGTAAAAATTAAAAATTAAAAATTAAAAGTAATTTTCATAATACATCACTTTTATAAATATTTTCCAAACTACCAAAGTTTGAACCGGTTCAAGTTTAACAAACTCGTACCAGATCGTCTGCCAAGGGATCGATCCACATGCATCGAGCGAAACATCCACGATTGGCTGGCACAGGACGACGCGGATCGAGTTTGTTAAACTCGATTTACATGGATCGAGTACAGAAGACTGGAGTGACATGAATCGCTGACATAGGCAGCGCTCCACCCTAGATCGAGGTAAAGTGGATCGATCTACACCGTTCGATGGCCACATCCGCGATGAAGTGGTGACGCGGATCGAGAGGGGGGGGGGAGGGAGGGAACTCGATGCAGGTGGATCGAGGGCTTGGGAATCGATTTGCTTGACGCGGATCGATGATGCCAGACTCGCTCTGCAGTAGATCGAGCTCTCAAAACTCGATCTGAGCCGTTCGATTTGACATCAGTCGAACTCCTTTTGACGCGGATCGAAGGCTGCAAAATCTATGCTGTGGTTCGAGTCCCCTAAAATCGATCCACCTCCTCCCACTGCACCTATAAATACCTCCTTCCATTCCACCAAATCTCACACCACTTCATTCTTCTTCCTCTCTTCCTTCCACCACTCTTGAAGAAAAAAAAAAGCTCTTTGGTTGCGGCTAAGCCCGATCTTCCGCATCATATTTTTTTTTCTTTAGTTTGGTACTTCTATCACTCAAAATTGCCGAGATGGATCCAAGTATTTACGATCCTAGATTACAGGGGTGGAGCTAGGATCCAGTGGTCGGGGGGGGGGGGGGGGGGGGGGGGGGGGACTTTATTGTATAATATCCGTAAAAAAAATTAAGAAAATATTTACATTGTGAGTCATAAGTCTAGACTCCAAAATTTAATTATCTAAATTAGAAAAATATTATAAGCTCCAAAATTTCATTATCTAGTTTGAACTTTCAAATTAAAAAGTATTTGAATAAGTACAAAAGTTAAGTGATCAGTCTAAATTTTAAACAAAAACTCAACCAAAGTAGGAAAACTAAAAAACAATGTTGTTGCCAGGGATTGAACCATGGTACTAGGTATTCATAAATACTAGGCAATTGCTGTATTCCATTAGACTAGACCCAGACATTTTTACTCATTATTGCACGTTATTGTTATTCTACAATAGTTAACTTCTTCAGAATTTTCAAAATTTCCGATATTTTTACACGCGATCTCCAAAATTTTCGGGGGTGGGGGGGGCCCGAGGCACAAGGTAGCTCCGCCCCTGCTAGATTATACATTCAAGGCGGACCGCGAGAAACCGGTTTGTTGGATGACCAACCTTACCATCGGTCTGAAAGTGTTTGGGCGGCAGATCTGGTAAGCACTCCTCATGTACTTTTCTTTTTTAAATGTGATAGTATTCTTCTAATTTTTTTTATAATAATTAATATATTTTTTTTCTACAGGAAGAATTTGACGTAATCACCCATCGGTCGCTATCTCGCTTGCCTAAATGGGATGATCGTATCGAGCCCTTCATTGAAAGAGCGCGATTGTTGAGGGTGCGAAAGTTGGTGGGGAAGGAGATGGACAACAACCTTCTTACAACAATGGTGGAAAGATGGAGAAAAGAAACGCACACATTCCACCTTCTAGAGGGAGAGATGACGATTACGTTGAAGGACGTAGCCATGCTGACAGAGCTTCCAATCGATGGTGATGCAATAATAGAAAGTTCACAGAAACCATTGAATGGTTGGGGCCAATTTATAAGCGAGCGTTTAGATATCAACATCCCCGAGGAAGCATCAGAAGGTCGTCGTGTACCACCTCTACACAAGTCTATGCTATTGATACCTTGGCTAGTGAGGACCGGTGGAGAATTTCCGGAGGATGCCACGGATGCTCAGATAGAGAGGTATGCTCGCATCTACCTGATTTGTTTGGTTGGAGGATTTTTGTTTCCGAACAAGTCTGGTGGAAATATGCATTGTATGTGTCTTCGAGTTCTTTTGGAAGACTGGGACGAGATTAAGAGAAAAAGTTGGGGATCTGCTTGTTTGGCGATGATATATTCGGAGTTGTGCAAGTGTATGGATCAGAAAAGAAAGTAAGCGGGTGATCCCATGTTCATCCTCCAACTATGGGTTTGCGAGCACCTTCATACTTTCGCTCCAATTTGCCCTGCCAACAGTTGTGGTCCTGATGAGCCACTACGACAATGGGCTTATGGTGCTAGATGGATTAAAGCTATCACGAGACTCACCTCTCTAGACGGGTACCGCCAACATCTTTACCGTATAGAATTCAACGAGGTAATATTCTAGCTTATGATTATGAATGCTAATTTATTTGTTGAAATTATTTGTCTTAGCCCATGCTTTATTTTTATGATTAGGAATCCTATTTTATTTGTTGAAATTATTTGTCTTAGCCCATGATTTATTTTTATGATTATGAATGCTAATTTATTTGTTGAAACTATTTGTCTTAGTCTGAGCCTATGATTTATTTTTATGATTATGAATTCTATTTTATTTGTTGAAATTATTTGTCTTGGCCCATGATTTATTTCTATGATTACGAATTCTATTTCATTTGTTGAAATTATTTGTCTTAGCCCATGATTTATTTTTATGATTATGAATCCTATTTTATTTGTGAAAATTATTTGCTTCGATTTTAATTTATATGTTGGGTTGAAACTTAGGTGGAGTGGGATCCGTATCCGAACGGAGCAAAGGATTTGTACTAGTTGCGATACCCTGAGGATCGTTGACTCTGGTCGTGCAAGTTGCCTATGATTTGCCACAACATTGTCGAGTGGCACCTCCCGGATAGATGTGTCCGACAATATAATTGGGCGCAACCGATTCCTCTCCCACCACTGGACGTACATAAGTCACTCCACAAGTAAAGCAAGGATCTGCGGGGTACAATCAGTGATTGGCCAACCAAGCACCATAGATGGATTGAAATGTGGGAGTCTCGTCAGACGTATGCAATTGATGGGATCCCAATGAAGAGGCCAATGGGGTCAGTGGCGGATACATGGGCCTCTAGGGGTGTCCCCGGACACCCCTAAAATTTAGAAAAACGATTATCCACCCCCCGGTAGTAGTTTCATATGGATAAAAAAATTATAATTGGTAATCCAGGACACCCTTAAATTTTGAAAAAACAATTATCATGTTCTCGGTAGTAGTTTGCGTATGATTAAAAATATATAAGTAGTAATCTCTGTGTTATTCAAACCTAGGACACTACTATTATTAAACATATTCTCTAGGTTGCAACTCATTTGTTGTTTTATTTTAAACACTATGTAATAGTAAAAACACTATTCTTTATTCCCAATTGTTTTCAAAACCTAACAATTAAATTCATTCGAGCTATCCTTAATTTGAATTGATTTTATAGGTATATTGCAAGAGTTGAAAGAGTCTTTCAAGTTTGAGTTACATCAGGAACAAGGTTAAAAATCAAATATGCCATCAGTTCGTGAATTATTGTCTAATATGGTATATTGCACTAGTCGAATATTTTTTTTATATGAATTATTAAATTTAATTTTTGGAAGATGGACACCCCTATAAAAAATTCCTGGATCCGCCACTGAATGGGGTGCCAAGATGAATACATAGTTTGATACCGCAAGTTCACAAAAAGATGGGTAATCAAACGTGGCGTCGTGATCGGTTCGTTGGTAAGCACAATATCTATTTACTATAATCACTTTAGCTACACAAAGAGTGTTTGACTAACATGTTTATTATTTAGGTTGATGGGTTGGAACTTGCATCAATGACGTTGGAGAGTGAACCATAACAAAATGTGCCACCTGAGAAAATTTCATTCTTGAAGAAGCTCTTCAAGAATCTCTTGTCATGTTCGCAGGAAATCCGAAGGGATGTCATTGCATATCCTCCTGCACCTGCACCGCCACATCCTTCCTCCCACGCCATTGAAGTTGAATCCCTCCTGCCATCACCACCAAGGAGGAGTAAACGTCGGCAAGAGCCAGTTACAGTCCCTGTGCAAGTACGAGAAGATGTGGCACTTCCTGACCCATACGAGTATGGATTCCCTCCCGTTAGAAGGGAATTCAGAGAGGGATCATCAGGTCTTGCTCAAGGAGGGGGAGGAGGAGCCAACTATTACATACAGTACAAACAATACTAAATTAATCCAAAATTCTAATATGCTCATTCAAACAACGTAAGCAGAACTTACCTCCAAAAATTTTCTTCTTTGTTCAGCTATGGTGCTCTAGCTGCTGCAGTTTGTGTTTGGAAGAAAATAGAAAGTAAAAGAGCTGCCAGAATGTGCTAAGTGATGGCTTTTTATCCTCGTAAACTGATGCAGTGGTTCGAGGCCAAAAAACTCGAACTACACTAGTTCGAGTCCATTAAACTCGATCAAGGGCAACCAATAATTTTACCCCTGCACCCTATTCTGGAGCATGTCAGACCGAAAGCGACTGCACATAATGATTGAGCAGTGGTTCGAGTTCAGTGTAATCGAACTACCCTAGTTCGAGTCCCTAGAACTCGATCTACGACAACAAAGAATCTTATCCCTGCAACTCTATCCTGAAGCATGTCGGTTGATTAGTGGTTCGAGGCCACATGAATCGATTTTTGTTGTTCGAGTTTTAAGGCATCGATCTTGTACTGGTGTGGATCGAGGCTTCTAAAATTGTTTTACTTGATCGAGTTTTTTGGCATCGATCTTACTTGATCGAGTTGTCCAAAATCGATCTACTATGATCGAGTCCTTTGTCGTCGATCTATCTTGATCGATTTCTCCAAAATCAAACTATTGTTGATCGAGTTTTAGGAACTCGATTTGGTTCTAATTCGAGTTCTTCATTGTCGAACTTGCTAGTTGTTCGAGTTTGTGACACTCAAACCCTTTGAAACTTGGGTAGTTTGGGAAAATTTTATAAATCTTATGTATTATGGGAATTATGTTTAATTTTTACTGTATTCTGGGAATTCTTCCGTGTTTGCCAGTTTGGTCAATGTTGTGAATGAATAATCTAGTGATGATTTCTTTTTGATTTGTGCGTATCTTTTTTTATATTTAATTAATGAATTTGAATAATTCGAAAATTTTTATATCAAACTTCGAGTTGATCCTCAAAATACTTGTACGGCCATCTGCAACCTAAGGGCCAAAGTTTCGAAATTGAAAAAAAAAAAAAAAAAAAAAAATTTGCCATCCTATGGTAAGACCAAAGTGCCGACTCTCGTACACTATCCTTTTCAATTGACGTCGGCCGAACACTCACCTCCAAAGGCGACTTCACTTCGACCGTTCAGGAGGCGGATCTCTCCTGCACCGCCACTGAAATGGCAGAATTCAAGGAACAATCTCCCTTTGCTCCTGCTGCTCAACGATCTGCTACTACTGTTCCTTGCAGGAGGAAGAGTTCAAGTGAGAAATCGAATATGCCCACTCATCTCACCACCAGGGTTTGAGATAGGGTCAGTAACCACTGGTTACTGACCTATCAGTAAACACATGGGAGCCGTAGATCTGAGAATGGAGCAATCGTGTGGTTGGCTGGACGCGGGGGGTGGGGAGGGACATTTTTGTCCGTTTTTGTATTTTTAATTTTATTTATTTATTCCGCATTTTAATGGCTGACTTTTCAATGAAAGAGAGAAAATAACATTTTCTCTGCAACTCTACTTTCTTCTTCTCTCTTCCTTTTTTCCAATCTCTTTCGAGATCCTTTCTCTTTCTCTATTCCTTCTCTTTTACTTTTTCTCTCACAATATCCTTTTCAAATCTAGATCTGCTCTCTTTCATCTTCATTTTTTTCTCTAGCAATCGACGAATAAAAATTGAAGTCACCCTCTTTAATTGTGTTTCTTCTCTTCATCAACGCGTTGGCTTTAATTTCGATCTTTCTCCTTTTTTTGGCGTTTGGTGTTCTTTGGTTGCGGATGAAATGAGATGAGACAGAAGACAAGTTTTTTTTTCTCTCCCTCCTTTTGTTTTTTCCCCTTTCTTTTAGGTAATATATATTGGTATTATCACACTATACCATATGGTATTATGTGGTAACGAAATATATATTGGTATTACCACTCTATACCATATGGTATTGGGTGGTAACGAAATATATATTGATATTACCACACTATACCACATGGTATTGGGTGGTAACGAAATATATATTGGTATTACCACTCTATACCATATGGTATTGGGTGGTAACGAAATATATATTTATATTACCACACTATACCATATGGTATTGGGTGGTAACAAAATATATATTGGTATTACCACTCTATACAATATGGTATTACCACTCTATACCATATGGTATTGGGTGGTAACGAAATATATATTGATATTACCACACTATACCATATGGTAGTAACGAAATATATATTCATGTGGCAAAAATTTTCATACCATATGGTATGCTCTTATTTAATACCAGTCAATACCATATGGTATGGTATAGACTGGTAATAACTGACAAATTTTTTTGTGTCCAAAAAATATCAAAGTGGATATCATTTTGAAGAGCACAATTAATCTGATCTAACTGTGCAAAAAAATTAAATTTCGACTTAAAACGAGTGAGAAATCGTCCGTTAAAGATTATGGGAAGAAAATTAAATGTTTTGTGAGGAGAGAAAAGGAGACGCTGGTGTACGGTCAAAAGTCACCCTCAGCAATAAATAGGAGAAAGTGCAATTTTACCGTACTGCCCTTTTCACATTTAATTTAAATAAAAAAGTGACTGACACGTGGGGGTCATGGAAGGGGTTACTGACCCATCAGTTACTGACCCGATCTGGACCCCACCACCAGACCTGCAGTTAATTACGAGCAAGAGGTCGCGTTCAACTCTGAAAACGGAAAGTTGTAGTTTTTTATTGTTCCCGGAAACGACAAGATATTGTTTCTACCAATTTCCAACATCTTTTTTTTTTTGTATTTTCAACGAAAAACCTTTTTCGTATTATCGTTGAAGTGAAATATTTGAATCACATTACTCACAATTATTTTTTTAATACTTTTATTTTAGTACTTTTAGTTTTCTCTTTTACCTGAGTTTTCTCTTTATATTAGATATATTTTTTTTACACATACACAAACCACTATAGAAGATTGGACCCGACAATCGTTTTTCCAAATTTTAGAGGTGTCTTAGGATCCGCCACAGCATACCACCATAATATATTTTCTGATATAATTTTCTATATCACATTAATATATGTGATATTAGAAGTGACAAATAAATTGGAACCATTGATTGGTTGATTGGATGAGTGGATCCATGAATCAAATGGGTAGATGGATGTGATCATGGATCCAAGTGGCATCTAAACATTTAATCATTATGAAAAAATTTAAAAGTGTAGGCAATAAACTGTCAAAATAAAAAATTGTATGTATCAAAATGTTAATTTCGAGGAATAAATCCACCAATCTTGTAATTGGATTTGAGTCTAATTAATTGCAAATTGCATGCATTGTGATTGTGGTTTTATTGTATACAAAGGCTTGGACAAATTCATAAGAATTGCCAAAAAGATACGGCCCTGTTCACTTCTATTTTCGTTTTCTGTTTTCTGTTTTCATGTCATAAGTTTGGCAACCGAAACGAGAAAACATGTTTACTTTTCATTCTGTTTTCTATTCGTTTCCAACTCCGAAAAACAGAAAATGGCAGCTTCCTGCTGTTTTCGAAAACGACAAAATGTTGTTTTCACTTGTTTTCAACATCTGTCTTCTAAAAAACAGGAAACAAAACTGAAACTATTGCGTGATCTAACAATAATGGTTGCGTGAATAATCAACACTCTTACGTGAAGAACACAAATGTGACGAGAATGAAACAAATATGACGTGAATACAACAAATATGGTGTGGATAATCCAAAATCAGGTGATTTGTCACCTAACGTTACAAGAGACTTCACTCTTAAACCAAATGTTGAATGAGAAAATCAAAGGTTCTAGGGTTTCCACTTTCCACAACTCATTTTTGTTGTTAACGGCCTCTCATATACAGTTCAACTATTTGTCAATTGTTACGTCTGGTTAGGCAGTGTGATTTAACCTATCTCTTGTAACTTCTACGCTATTTATGGAATAATATATTGTGTATGGAATAATATATCTACATGCTACCTTTGGTTGGGGGTTGGATCTGGTGACTAGGGGTACTTAGTCACTTGATTAAGCCCCTCCCAACTCTTAGATCTGGACACACCAATCTGACGGTTAAAAAGTGAGAAGAGATTTTTAATTAATGATAGGGATAGTTTGGGTATTTTGGAAAATTACGAAGTATACAAACTGGACTTACAAACAGTACA